GTGTTCCTGCTCTCGCTATCTCTCTCTCTCTGTCAAATAAATAAATAAAATCTTTAAAAAAAAAAAAAAAAAGAGAGAGATCCATGAAGAACCATCTACCAACAGTGACAGTAAGAAGAGGCACTCTCTCTCTTTTTTAAAGATTCTATTTATTTGTTTGAGAGAGAGAGAGCATGAGTGGGGGGGGAGGGAGGGAGAGGGAGAGGGAGAAGCAGACTCCCTGCTGAGCAGGGGCTCCATTCCAGGACTCTGAGATCATGACCTGAGCCAAAGGCAGATGCATAACCAACTGAGCAACCCAGGTGCCCCAGAAGCACTCTCTTTATCTGATATAAATGAGGAAGCATGTAGCACCAACTGCTATTGGCAGCATTTTGTGACAAGGGCAGCCAGCTTAAGACAAGCTGACACATGAGGGAAAGGAGTGCTGTGAAAATAGCAAATAAATGGAACTGAAGCCTTGATTAAATCATGCCTTAAGTTGAACTACAGAATTTTCTATTATCTGAGCCAATAAATCTCCTAAACTCAGTCAATTTGGGTTGATGCTTCTGTTATCTGGAATCAAAGCATTATGACACATAAAGGATAGGTATAAGGGAGACTGAGTCCTTGACAGAAATGTCACTACCCTTAAAATTCCCAGGGAAAATACATGTACTAATAAGCCCAGGCAAAGGAATCCTCTATATTACCATTAAACGTTGGCCTTAACCCCAACACAGGAAGGTAAATTAGGTCATAAATGGGGCCTCCTTATGTCCAGGCTAGATCTAAGCCATAAAACCATGGTAGGACAAATGATATAAACTATCTCGTCACTTAACACTATGTTGCAATGTTGGAACTTATTACTTTCAAAATGAAGAAAACCAACAGAAAAGAGTCAAGTATCAGAATCTGACATCACTTCATGATTGTATTTGTTTCAAAAGCTAGTCTAAGCTGTATGCACAGGTCTTTGCAGGCCAAGGCAATAAAAGACCTTAGGCAGTCTTTCCACACAAGCCTTAAAAAGGCAAATAGCACTGGAGGAAATAATATCTAAGATGGCTCAAGACTTTAACTTTTGTACCTTTAACTTTAGCTTCTACTGGTGAAACTTTTCTACTCTCCTCAGACTTTCCTCAATCCTTCATTTTAGTCTTTGAATGTGACTAAAGCAACTTAATTCTAATAGAGACCAACAAATATAAGAAAAAAAGGACATAAAATCTCATCATCCAGGAAATGCCAATGCTAATAATTCTGGACTTTTCTGCTACGTGTTTTTTAAAATACTGTTTACATAGAAAGTTGAATATCTAGTGCTTTGTTTTTAACTTAATATCATGGTATTAAATAAGCTATAAGCTTATGTATTTATTTAAAATTATAAAGATACCTTTAATGAATACAAGATAATTTATTTGACCACTGTCTTAATTTTGGATACACACACACACTATATACGGATATATATGGCCCCCCTACCTCCACTATAAAGAGTACTGAATTAGGGTCACCTGAGAAATTACAAAAAATACCAATGCCCTAGTTCCTCCATTTTAATATAATTACTAAGGGTGATGCCCCACAAAGGTATTTTTAAAAAAGCTCCTCCGGGTGATTTCATATTCTCATCACTGGCTGAGCTAAGACAACTGGGGACAAAATGGAGACCACATGCTGCACTAAATAAATCAACAACCACCTAGTCCTGCTTTAGAGACAAGCTAGGAAATGTTAACATTTATGTGACATCTCCTAGTACTTATATACTCATTTAACTAGTAAGTATGAGCAAAACAAAACAAGTTTGTAGCCAGATTGGCGAAGAAGCTCTATTATAACCCCTTTATGGGAAGAAGTTGCTTTCCCAGCCTTTTCTGCTTTTATTCCAGAGAGAATAAAATTAAACAACTAGCTAGTAAAAAATGTGTTAGGTTACTAACTACTGGTAAACAAGATATCTATAGGTTCTGTACTCTATTAATGTTTTGCCTTCAGGTTTTTTTAAAATTTAAGTTCAATTTAATTAACATATATTGTATTATTAATTACAGAGGTAGAATTTAGTGATTCATCAGTTGCATACAACACCCAGTGCTCATCACTTCACGTGCCCTCCTTAATGCCCATCACCCAATTACCCCATCCCCCCACCCACCTCCCCTCCAGCAACCCTCAGTTTGTTTCTTATAGTTAAGAGTCTCTTAATGGTTTGCCTCCCTCTCTGTTATCATCTTATTTTATTTTTCCTTCCCCTCCCCTATGTTCATCTGTTTTTTTTCTTAAATTCCACATATGAATGAAATCATATGGTATTTGTCTTTCTCTGATTGATGTATTTCGCTTAGCATGATACTTTCTGTTCCATCCACCTCGTAGTAAATGGCAAGATTTCATTCTTTTTGATGGTTGAGTAATATTCCATTGTGTTGTGTGTCTGTGTGTATGTATTGTACATACATATATACCACATCATCTTTATCCATTCATCTGTAGATGGACATCTGCGCTCTTTCCATATTTTGGCTATTGTGGACATTGCTGCTATAAACATTGGGTGCATGTGCCCATTTGAATCTTTATTTAACTAGTATTTATACAGCCCTACTATGGGACAGACATTGGATATTTAATGGTAGACAAACTAAACAAATATTTTATTTATGGAAACTTCATCAAAGATAAACACTGAGGGTAACTAGAAGTGGGGGAAAAAAAAAAAGAGTCCTCATATCTAAAATAACTACCTGGCATGCTTGCTGCAACTGCTTTAATAGCCATCAGGCTGATATTAATGAAAAAGCCCCAAAAGCTATCCTCACTCTACCTCTAGGTAGAGAAAAATAGAATACTACCCATGAACATCTATGTGTACAAAGGTTGTCTGGTATTTTGGATTACTATCTGAGGATATAGTTTTAGAGTAGAATTACTAGACAGAGTGTGATCATTTTTTTAAGTACCTAATTCATATATTTTCAAATTGCATTTGAATGGCTGCACAATTCAAGCTTCCACGATCCATGTATCAGAAAGACCATCTTCTTATTTATTTAGCTTTTCTGCATTTTCCATGTTTCTACAATGAACATCTGCTACTTTTATGATTAAGAAAAAAAATCCTATTTTTAAAAAGTTATTAACATATTACTATTCATATTATCATTATCAAAATATGTGAAGATTTCAATCATCTGAAAAAATTTATGCATAGAAAAATATTGACAGTTATTTCTTCTTGGGCTATGGGATGATGGATTTATTTTCTTCTCTTCATGTTTCTGTGTATTTTCCATAATGAGCACATGTTACTTTTACAATTAGAAAAAAATACCCATTGAAAACTATGGCCTTTTAAAAATACAGCAACCTTATGGAATTTTAATCTCTCCATGTTCTCATCAACATTACGGTAAGTTTATGTATATTAGAAGCCATCCCCACCCCTACCAAGTACTTAAAATTCCAATATCAAAAGAAAATAAAAAGGGCCAGGTAAATAGCAATGGGATACATGTTATGATTAATCCAGCCCAGGTTCTCCAATGTAAATAGAAAGATGACAGACTAATTCATGTGGAAGTTCATGTGGAACTTGTCCAACCTTTAAAATTCAAGTTCATGTGGAATTTGTCCAACCTTTAAAATTTTTAATTAAAAATAGAAATAATATTCCTAGGGTCCATATTTTATTTATCTATATTTTGACACCCTAGCACAATGCTCATACTTGGTGGGTATTCAGTGTTTGATGAATTAAAAAAGTATGAGATATAATGTAAAACTGTGGATTAATAAAGAAATAGAAAAGGATTTTGAAAGAAACAAAAAATAATTTTCCTAAAAATTATAAATGTCCAATAAAAAATACTATTTTAGACTCCCATCCACTCCCAAAGAAAAGAGTAAATCACCAACTGAATGCTTACAGTATAATGCCTTATACTGCACATGTATAAAAACATGTATAAATAGGCGAGGCCGGCTGTTTACCTCCTAGCTACATTAAATATAGATGATATGAGTAACGACTCCTTGTATAAGCTATGTATAAATCCTTTAAAAACTTAAAATTATACTGAGTCATATACATCAGAGGGAAACAATGAGCTGCCTCTGAAATCTTTTTCTGATTATCAAAACTGAAACTAGAGGGAAATCCTGGATATTTTTGGAACTAATAAAAAAATTAAAATACTGAAAATTTATTATCATTTAGTTATTACACAAATAACTTCTATGCTGCATGCTAAGTATAGAAAATAACGCAAAAGAATTGACAAACCTGCAAATTTCCCCTTCCAATGAATCCTAGAAGCAACTGGATTTGAATTTGAGGCAGTTTTGCCCATACTTGACCTTCAGAATACCAAACTGACAGACCATCAAAGAGTAGCATCAGATCGTCTAAAAGCTATCACAAGGGAAAAATTGAGAAATAAAAACATTGTTTTAAAGTCTACTGATGAGTTTTCCCCAACAGTAATGCACATCATAAATATTTCCAAAACTAGCTTAATGTTCAATTGGTAAAAGGCAAAAGAATTATCCTAGTAATAACTAACAAAGTTGGTTAACTATCACATTTTATCCATGTTTGTTCTGATTAAATATTAATGCTCTAAAAAGGGGGGGTACAAAATTTTTTTTGTTGAATAAAGTCCTTGACTACCAGAAAAATAATATCAAAGAGTTATTACTGCACCTTCTCAGTCCACATGTTTGAATTAACAAGGCCCTCTGACTGCAGAAAGTCCTGTATGATCAGGATGAGTCGGGAGGCATTTTCAGCAGTTACTGGATTCGTTTTTGATTCTCTGTTTTCTGTGACTGTCCATTCTAACATGTTCTGTAGCAAACTAAGGGCAAAACAAAATCGTCTTAAAATCATTTTAAGTTTAGAAAAATAGTAAAACATGAAAAAAACCCCAGTTATTCATTAATATGTCTGTAAAGATATACTATCACTGGCAGGGATCAGAGGACATTTAATAACAATGAAGCAGCTTTTTAATCTCTGAAGTATCTATCTTTAATAAACATAATACAAAAGACAAAGTAAAAGTTATCATTTTATTTAACTATAAAAAGCTATTGAAATAATTCAAATTCCAGTCTCTTCTATGAGGTAACTTAAAAGTTTCTTTAAAGCTGGAAATTGGAAAGGTAAGAAAAGAAAGCTTTATTATGTCTCACAGAGGGTCTAGCCCTGCAGAGAACTCTAAATGCTTTAGAGAAGTAATTTTAATGAAAACACTACTTGCTTCCCTCAGCATGGAAACTCTCAAACTTGGACAAGACTGCAGAACACAATAAACCAAATGCTTAGATATTACAAAAACTAATTTAAACAAGGAATATATAATCACTGAAGCCCAAACTAAAGATTTAAATCTCCTCACACTTTTGGATTTCTCTCTAGATTCCACTAAAATGGCAACAGAGAGGAAAAGGGGCTGAGCATGAAGTTTTTCCTTTTCCCTCACTATACCCACTGAATCCTGAATAAATGTTCAATAAAAAATACTATTTTAGACTCCCAACCACTCCCAAAGAAAAGAGTAAATCACCAACTGAATGCTTACATTAATTTTATTTCATCTGAGGGTCGAAGTAGTTCACTGGATATTCCTGGTTTAGTTAGTGCTGAAAACACTTGTCCCCGTTCAATCCAAGTACCATTATCAGACTTTTCTAGTCCCTTACACATTACATAGTTCAAAATATTTGTCAGTAATTGAAGAAGCTCCTCCTCACATCTCTATAAAAAAGATAAACTAATATTAAATTATTGGAAGGAGGTGGTGTTAAAAGCACACAAAAAGAACCATCACATATACTGACTATCATCATTTAACATATTTTCAAAGTGTCTTGATAAACCTGGAGTTTTGCTAAGTAGGCCCTAGAGATATGAGGATGAATAAGATACCTGCTTTTCTCAAGATATAATTTAGTGACTTCAAGGTTTCCAGAATCTTAGATCATGAGACTTAGAACATGAATATAATATGAAATTGTTAATAATTACACATTCCTAAGGATTAGAAGTATATAATAGACATGGACAAATAAGGAATTTTACCTCTTGGCTTTCAAGTAAAGAGAAGTCATCACCAAACCCTGGATCATTTATGATGCTGCTCTCTTTGTCAGAATGCACAGAAAATGATTTAGTAGATTCTATTGGGGATGGCGTGCTAGGCAGGCTGTCTGGCATGTGACTTCCACTGTCACTCAGTTCACATGAGTCTATTCCACTGAGATCTAAACTCAAATGTGAAGGGTTATTATTCCAGAATTCTTCTTGATTCTCTGATTTGAAAGATAATTCTCCCACAGAACTATCTTCTTGAAATAATGGTGTGTGTGAGTCTAGAGAGTGTCTATCCTCTAAACTCCACTGATCTGAAGACACATTAGCTGAGGCAAAAGAGTTGATTCTTTCCTCATCGATCTTTTCATCAGAGTTCCTCTTAATATCTTCAGCTGAGAAATTTTTATCACTGTCTTTCATTGAAATAGCCCTACTGTGCTTATGGAGAGTATTTCCATTTTCAAAATTTGTTTTTAAAAAAAGCCTAACTAAAGTGTCTTGCCAACCCACTTGTTGAGATATTTGATGTGCTGCATCTGGCTGGGACTGCAAAATCTGTAAAATCTGCAAAGATTAAGAATACAAAATTCATCAAAAAGTACACAGTACTTCACATCAAAAACATTTTCTTTTCAGTTATTTTAGAGACAAAGTAATTTAATGAGAAACTGTGGGAAGACATACTTTCAAAAGATTATGTTAACTGGATTATAAACTATCTGTAGGGAAAACACTGTGTTTTTAACTAATCTGCATATATTACTCATTGTACAGACTACTTAAATATTTGCTGAAAGATAAAAAAGGGAAAAAAATGATCCACCACATGTCAACACACTCATGTTATTAATTTAATTTGATCAGAGAGAAAATATAAATAGAATGAAGGTATATATAAAATGTAATAAAGTTATATCCTCTCAACTAAACACCTTCCATGAACCTACTACATTTGTTTAGCAAATACGGAATACATACTGTGTACCAGGCCCCTCCTGGCCCTAGGGTTAAGGGAGTAAGTAAGACACTCAGATACTTTAATAGAACCTAGATCTCCCAAGAATGTTTCCCCATCTCATTTTTTTTTCCAGGCAAAGTTAATGGTTGCTTTTGCAAAACATTTTTTCCCGTTAACTCTATATTGTACAAACACTAATTCCAACAAGATGGATACTGCTATTTAGCTGGAAAAAGAAACTGAAATTAAAGAATAGACACTGACATGTCAATGTGTATGATCTCTATTATCCAACTGATTCCACATTTTTTTTGGATTAAAACAAGTTCTCAAACACTGCCAGATACTCAGTTAAGATCTTTAAGACATTTTTCTCACAAAGCCATAAACTTCTATGTAGATGGAAAGAATTCTTGCTCCCAGTATTCAGAGAATCTCTTTTATCTGTAACTGTGACAAGTGTCATAGGAGATGAATAATGTTGGTAGGGACTTTACTAGCTCGGGCTCTAATGCATGCTGATGCTGAGATAGTAAGCAACAAGTCACAATGAGTCACAATGATGTGTAGTTCTTTTCCTCACTAATCCTATCGGTGAGCTACCATTACTCTACTGATGCAGAATATCAATTTTTTTCCTTAGTAAAGAAATTTTCATGATTTCATGACTTTAAAAGTTCTGTAAAATAAGATTTATTTTATGTCTACTTTATATACATGTAATGGATAAAAACTAGGCTGCACTGAAAACTGTTTTCAAACTGAAAGGAAAGGATCAATCTATATAACCTGCTTCAAGAACAATATGCCAAAATCCATCAAAATGTGGTATGTGAATATACTCTGACACAGCAATTCCATTTCATGGATTATATCCTACAGATGTATTACCAAAAACAAGTAAAAATATATGTAAAAAAGTTCTTAACAGAAATTTAACACAGAAAAACAGGAGACAACCTAAATATCCATGAACAGGTTGGGAACTAGGTAATACTTTATACAATAGCCACAGAATAAAAACTATACACAGCTGTTAAAGAGAAAGATATACATCCAGACTTACTGATGGAATAATAGAATAACATAATTAGGGAGTAAAATTAAAAAGAAAAGCAAGGAAGCAAATTAAATAGGTCAGTGATTGCTAGTGGAAGAGAGAGGAGGCTATAATCAGGAAGAAGCACACAGGATAACTATTTCTTGACTTAGTTAGAGGGATGCATTGAAGGCAACTCACTGTTACTTTTCCATAAAGTTCAAAAGATTCAGAAATTCTAAAATATGGTATATGAATTTGAAATGGTCATAATCATTAAGATTCTTGACAAAAAAACCTATTGTCTTGTAATAAATTTTTTACTGTGGAAAGGGAGCAGTTCCAGGAGACCATGTAAAGCTAAGAACACATTTTTATGCTGATTTAATAATTACATGGAGTTAATTCACCTCAAAACACGAAATTACTTATTTATAAAATTGTGTTAAATAACAGAAATTAAAACTTATACCCGGTGTAAAATACTCAATATGAAAGTTATTCACAGTATAACAATACTGTCATTTTTAAAGTGTATCTTAAAAGTTTACTAACCTTTCTGCAGATAACCACCCTGACATTTATATGTGTTCTGTGAGATATATATACCACAGACAACAGGTCTTTGAAATTAATAGCAGGATCTATGGTGGGAAAAAATAAAGTTAAAATTAAATTCCAGAGATAGCCAAAGAAAGAACTGTGAGCGATAGTTACATAATAAAATAATTGTTTCATTTTTATTTTTCTTGCTGTCAGCAATAGATATCCTTTATTTTCTTCTAGCTTTACTGAGATATAACTGCCATAAAACAGTGTATAAATTTAAGGTGTACGACATGATGATCTGGTATAGGTATATACTGCAAAATAATTACCACAATAAGGTTAGTTAACATCCATCACTTCATATAGTTACCATTTTCCTTTTGTGGTAAACTTTTAAGATCTGCTCTCTTAGCAACTTTCAAGTATATAATACTATTAACTATAGTCACCATGTTGCACATTAGATCCCCAGAACTTACTCATCTTATAACTGGAAGCTTGTACCCTTTGACCACCTTCACTCATCTGCCCCCCACCCCAAGCCCCGGCAACTACCAATCTACTGTCTCTAGGAGGTTGTTTTTTGTTTTTTAAGATTTTATTTATTTGACAGAGATAGAGAGATAGTGAGAGCAGGAACACGAGCAGAGAGTGGGAGAGGGAGAAGCAGGCTCACCACCAAGCAGGGAGCCCGGTGCGGGGCTCGATCCCAGGACCCTGGGATCATGACCTGAGCCGAAGGCAGATGCTTAACGACTGAGCCACCCAGGCGCCCCAGGAGGTTGTTTTTTTTAATTTCACCTATAAGTGAGACCATATAGTATGTGTCCTCTCTGACTTACTTCACTTAGCAGAATAATGCCCTGCAGGTTCTTCTGTTACAAATGGCTGAATAATATCTTTTTTTTTTTTTTAAGATTTTATTTATTTATTTGAGAGAGAGCATGCACAAGCATGGGGAGGGGCAGCAGAGGGAGAGAGAAAAGCAGACTCCCAGCCAATAGGGAGCCCAATGTGGGGCTCGATCCCAGGACTCTGGGATCATGACCTGAGCCGAAGGCAGACGCTTAATCAACTGAGCCACCCAGGTGCCCCTGAGTAATATTCATATATGTGTGTGTGTGTGTGTATGTGTGTGTGTGTACATACACACACACAAACACTTACTTTATCCACTCATCCATCAGCAGACATTTAGGTTGCTTCTAGGTCTTGGCTATTATAAATGATGCTGCAATGAACATGGGGAGGTAACTCTTCAAGATAGTGATTTCATTTTCTTTGGCTATATAACTAGAAGATGGATTGTTGGATTATATGATAGTTCTATTTTTAATTTTTGGAGGAACCTCCATACTGTTTTCCACAGTGGCCACACTAATTTGCATTCCCAGCAACAGTGCACAAGGGTTTCCCTTTCTCCATATCTTCACCAGCACTTGTTATCCTTTGTCTTTCTGGTAATAGCGATCTTAACAGGTGACATGCTATCTCCTTCTGGTTTTGATTTACATTTCCCTTATGATTAGAGATGTGAAGCACCTTGTCATCTACCTACTGGTTATCTGTATGTCTTTGCAAAAATGTCTATTCAGGCCCTTAGCTCATTTTTTTTTTAAAATTCTTGTTAGTTGACATACAGTTCAATACTGGTTTTAGGAGTAGAGTTCAGTGATTCATCATTTACATGTAACACCCAGTGCTCGTCATAACAAGTGCCCTCTTTAATACCCATCACCCATCTATCCCATCCCCCACCCACCTCCCTCCGTCAACCCTCAGTTTGTTTTCTAAGCTAAGAGTCTCTCATGATTTGTTTCCCCCCTTTTCTTCCTCCCTCCCGAATGTTCATGTTTGGTTTCTTAAATTCCACATGAATGAAATCATATGGTATTTGTCTTTCTCTGACTGACTTATTTCACTTAGCATAATATACTCTAGCTCCAATCACGTCATTGCAAACGGCAAAATTACACTTTTTAATGGTTGAATAGTATTCCATTGTGTGTGTATGTGTGTGTGTACACACACATATCTTTATCCATTCATCAGTTGTTGGGCATTTGGGCTCTTTCCATGGTTTGGCTATTGTTGATAATGCTGCTATAAACATCAGCGTGCATGTATCCTTCTGAATCAGTATTTTAGTACCCTTGGGGTAAATACCTAGTAGTGCAATAGCTGGATTGTAGGGTGGTTCTATTTTTAACTTTTTGAGGAACCTCCATACTGTTTTCCAGAGTGGCTGCACCAGTTTGCATTCCCACCAACAATGTAAGAGGGTTCCTGTTTCTCTGCATCCTTGCCGACACCTGTTGTTTCCTGTGTTGTTAATTTTAGCTATTCTGACCAGTGTGAGGTGGTATCTCATCATGGTTTTGATTTGTATTTCCCTGATGATAAGTGATGTTGAGCACCTTTTCATGGGTCTGTTAGCCATCTGGATGTCTTCTCTGGAGAAATGCCTATTCGTGTCTTTTGCCCATTTCTTAACTGGATTATTTGTTTTTTGGGTGTTGAGTTTAATAAGTTCCTTACAGATTTTGGATACTAACCCTCATTTGCAAATATGTTCTACCATTCCACAGGATGCCTTTTAGTTCTGTTGATTGTTTCCTTTGTTATGCAGAAGGTTTTTATCTTGATGAGGTCCCAATAGTTCATTTTTGCTTTTGTTTCTCTTGCTCCCAGTGATGTGTCTAGTACCTTGCTCATTTTTTAATTGGATTTTTTTTGCTACTGTGTTGTATGATTTCCTTACATATTTTAGATATTAATCCCCTCTCAGATATTTGATTCACAAGTATTTTCTCCCACCCTGTATACTGCCTTTTCATTTTGTTGATGGTTTTTCTTGCTGTGCAGAAGCTTTTTAGTTTGATAAAGTCCCACTTGTTTATTTTTGCTTTTAACGCTTGTGCTTTTAGTGTCATTGCCAAGATGAATGTCAAGGACTTTTCCTCATGTTTTCTTCTAGCAGTTACATGGTTCATGGCTTACATTTAAATCTTTAATTCATTTCAAGTTAATTTTTGTGAGTGGTGTAAGATAAGGGTCTATTTTCATTCTTTTGCATATGAATATCCAGTTTTCCCAACACCATTCATTGAATAGACTATTTTTCCCCAACTGAGTATTCTTGGATTCCTTGTCAAATACTAGTTGACCAGATATATATGGTTTTATTTCTGGGCTTTCAATTCTGTTCCACTGGTCTATGTGTGTTTTTATGCTAGTACCATGCTGTTTTGATTACTATAACTTTATAGTATAGTTTGAAATCAAGAACTGTGATGCTTCCAGCTATCTTCTCCTTTTTCAAGTTCTTTCTCAAAGAATGAATTGTGGGTAATAGTTATATAAATGCTGAAATAACTGTCTCATTTAAAATAAGGATTATAGAAGGGCTCCTGGGTGGCTCAGCTGATTAACCAGCTAATTTGACTCAGGTCACTATCTCGGAGTCCTGGGATCAAGCCCTGTGTCGGGGAGTCTGCTTGAGGATTCTCTCTCCCTCTCCCTTGCCCCTCCCCACCCGTGCACTCCAAAATAAATAAATCTTTAAAAAAAATAAGAATTATAGATATGTTTAAATTTTACAAAGAAAATAGATTTAGAATATTTGACAGTCTCCTGAGTAAGCCCTAAATAACTGCTCTTTTCTTTTGGTTGCCTGAACACACTATCCATACTGTTTTGTTCTTGTACTATTATTTATCTTTTTATGTACATGTCTTATATGTTATATCCTTATCAATGAGAAGATAAACCATTTAAACAAAGAACCTTATCTTATACCTTTTGAACCCTTAGCATCTGACATAAACACTATAGTTTGTAGTAAGTACTAAAAAACTTTTATTAAAAAAAAATGAGAAACTAAAAAGATTATCTGAAAGAATATCTGAAATTAAGGATTTAAGCTCCCCAAAGAAAAAGACAATGTTTTGTATGTATTTTCTCTAGCATCCTTTTCTTATTACAGAGGACTCAGTTATTTACTGATCAATCAATAAACAATCACTGAAGACCTACCAAGTAAGGCACTATACTATGCCCTGGGGAGACAAAAACAAAAAAGGTTAAGTAAAAAACAGTACCCCCAAAAAAGCCCTGCTGAATCAAATAATAGGTAATTAAAAAGTAACCTGAGGAAGAAAAGGGAAAACAACCCTTTAGAAAAAAAATTGAGAACCATCAAATAGAATTATGCTACTATGAAGACCATTTCTTAAATATATCAGTATTACCAGCTTTAGTCATACCTGTATTTATAATCTGATTGATGAGGCTTTTAATGAGAGAGGTATTAATGGGTGCTTCATTAAGAAGAAGTCCCAATCCTGAATAGCCAACTTCTCTGAGCCGAATACGTTGTTTACTTCGTTCATAAACATTTGTGCATTTCAACATTTGTTCCATAACCTGGTCACAGCAGTAATATATACTTCTCAATACAGAGAACTAAGAACAGTCTGTCACTTAAGTTAATATTGAATATAATGTTACTGTACAAGCATCATTTTGGAGCATCATTTTATTCCTTAAGTGTAACAAACGAACAAACCCAGCAGTAACAGGGAGGAATACTCCGAATCATACTCTCATTAAAAAATGGATTTAAGAAGAAATTGAACTAAAATGCATTTGTATTTAAATAATTAATGTATTTAAAACTGTAGTTTACATATATTTCTTGCAGATCAAAGAAATAACTTAAAACTTCCTTTTTAATGGCTAAGGCTTAGATAGAAACAAGCCCTATAGCCTCCATGAAAAACAAAAGTATGTTATAAAAGAGAAAAAGATACTTTGAGATCAACCTAGTAATTTATGTAACATTTATGTAACAGTTATCAAAATGTTTTTCAAGAACAAGGAAACATTTTGTGAAGCACATCCATATGCCAAAATGGGAGAATGAATTAGTAATCCCATACTTTTTGAAGTGAGATCAACGTTTTAAAAGTGACATACTGAAACCCTACAGAAAGGGTAATTTTGGCAGAATAATATGATGAACAATCCATATAAGGCCATTTTTGGAGAAATTAACATTTAATCTCCATAAAGGAACATTTGTTTGGGCAGATACTTTAAAGAGCAGCCACAGGGGTCACCATAATTAATACTCATGAGAGACTATGCCAGATCATTTTTATTGCACCTTTGTTTTCCAAAGTTTAGGGATTCCAAACATAGGCAATCCAAATTTGACCCCATATGTAGACATTATGATGTAACACTAATGATATAAGAGGAAACAAATGTCACAGGCAATCAGGCATAATGAATAAGTAGAAATATGACTAACTCCTCTATTTTTTTTTTTTAAACAAAAAAGGTGAAGTGGATGAAGCTCAAAGTGACTACTATGGATAGCTCAACAAAATATATTCATTATCCTCTGACAAGTTACTAACCTCCTGGCCTCAGATTCTTTATCTGTAAAATGGGACTAATAATATTCACTTCATGAAGTTTTTGAAAGGACTAAGTTAGCTAATATATGAAGAATGTTTACGGCCTGACAAATAGTGGGTACTACATAAGGTTAGTGATTATAATTAACTGCTAAAATGTCTGACCTGCCACACAGACCCATGGTTAAGTCAAAAGAGAGATGAGACAAAATTAGTGAAAGGGAGTGGGAGGTACAGGCTTCTAGTTATGAAATGAGTAAGTCACAGGAGTAAAAGGTAAGAGCACAGGGAATAAAAGGTAGTCAATGATATTGTAGTAACATTGTATAGTGACAGATGGTTGCTACACTTGTGGTGAGCATAGCATAATGTATAAACTTGTAGAATCACTATGTTGTACACTTGAAACTACTGTAACATTGTGTATCAGTTATACTCAAATTAAAAAAACGTTTTTTAAAAAAAGGCAAAAAAGGGAAATGAGAGGTTTTATACTGAGGATGATATAACAAAGTGGATCTTCCACTAAACTGATCAGATTACAATATGATTAGTTTTTAAATGTTCAAAACATGAAAAATATATATCAAAACAGACTGCAGAATTAATTAATTAATTAATTTTTAATGTAGGCTTCATGCCCAACATGGAGCCCAACACAGGGCTTGAACCCATGACCCTGAGATTGAGACCTGAACTGAGATCAAGAGTTGGACTTATCCTACTGAGTCAGCCAGGTACCCCTACAACAATTTAAAATTAGAGTAGATATGAAAAAAGAATTTACATTCATAAAATGGATATTTACAAATAAATTCATATACTCACAAATGTCCCCAAATATAAAGATGCTTAAGAAATGTTTGTACCTTAAAAACTATTTCTCTTAGTCTGTCAGAGTACTTCTGATTTAAGAGCAAGGCATAAAGTATGTCAGCATTTCCTGGTTCAAACAGCAGTAAGAAAAGCTGACCTCTAGTTGGGCTGGTATGGAGGAGACTGAAGAGCATATCCAAAATTCCGAAGAGCTTTTAAAATTAAACAACACAAAACAAACAACCAGACTCATATATGGAAGCACAAATAAAGTCATAAACCACAAACAGTTACTTAAACTAAATCCTATATACACTAATGTTTTAGAGCTTAACTGAATGGTCTGATGTCTTCTGAAATAGCCCTGCCTTTTACCACCATTATGCTTTTGACTTATTTCTTTTTGTATATCCTCTCAATATGCATATTCACCTGCTGAGCCATACCTATACTGCTTTAGCCACATAAAAAGCCATGTCTTCCATAAAGCCCTTCCTGGTCTCCTCAACATGTAATACTCTCCTTATGAAAACCTCATAGGACTTTGTTTCTCTCTTATAGCTATTATCATAGTCTTTGTTTGTTTGTTTCATAATTATTTATAAACCTCTCTTATCCACCCTTGCCTCTGTTAGGCTAAGAGAATGCTAATTCATTCATTGTAACATACCTATAATATCTAGTATTATTCTATGTATATAGTAAGCTTACAATAAATACCTCTTTGACTGAATTGACCAAGAAAATATCACTGGCAATGAATCACAGTGGGTGACAACAGCTATCATGAAATAAGATGGCTACTGGTTACTCTAGGTAAGAAGAAGCTTCTGAAGTAGACTAACCTTACGGGGAAATAGCTTAAGTTAACTCATCTATATAGTATCAATTATGAAGTCATGTAATATCTAAGTACACAAAGAATACTTCATCAAAGAGCAAAAATAGTTGAGTCAACATAAATTAAGGATACTCAAGTTTGGTGTTGAGAGTGGTATACAGAAAGAGCACAGAAATAGCAGTAAATACACCTGGGTTCTATTCCCCGGTTTGTCAGCTGTATGACTTTTTAAGTCACCTAATCTATCTGAACATGTACTCCAAATGTGCAAGTGGGAAGATTAATTCCTGGTCTGTATATTTTACATCAGTGGTTCTCAAATTTTATCATGCACCATAAACACCTGGAAGGCTTAGTTCAGTAAGTATGCATTTATAACAAGTTCCCAGGTAAATCTGGTCAGGAACCATACATTGAGAACCACTGTCTTAAAGAGTAGCTCTGAGGTATAAATGAATAATGTATGTAAAAGTATCTAAAAATAGAAATATAATTTACTCTTTATGAAAAATTTTTATGAACCTATGTTAAAATTCATGTTAGAAATCTGCCCAGTATCTTTGATGGTAGGTAAATATACATGATGTGGCCTATGAAAACAGTCTTCAGAACTGCCAGAACAACTATTTCCAGATACTACTTTCTAGCTAACTAAAATATTTTATTGTATTACCATCTATTTTATTAAACTTTCAGTTAGGAGATTAAAATTTACTTCTTTAACTGCATAATATTGTATTTCACATAATAAACATTTTACTGTTAAAATGTTTAATATATGTGTAATTTTAAAAGAAGATGAAAGAGCAACTTAAGTGTGAAAAAGAAAAAACAGACTTTTCTTGGGCATAATACCTGTTCTTCTTCATTGACAGCAGCTATGTAACCCATAATACTCTGTATCTCTTCATGAGTTCCACCTTTGCACAGAAAATATTTAATTAGTCCATACAAAGAAGTCCTTATTGTTCGAACGTCATCTAGAGACAGCTCACTATATTTACAATCACTCCTGAAAGAGAAAGTAAAAGTGCAAGAACTGAAATGTAAAATGTTTACATTTTAGTGCCTTTTTGTACAAAAGAACCCATAGTTTAAAAAAAAAGATGCTTCCATGTAATTATTAGAATTCATGGTATCTTTGTTTTCTTTTTCCTTTTAAGGAAAACCTTGGGTTTCAATGACAAAGATATAAATAGTTAAAATAGCTTATATTTAAACAACAGTAAGTGGCAGACATAGTTTTAAGTGCCTTACATGTTATTAATGCATTTAGTTTAATCCTCAAAACAAACATAGGCTTATTATTTCCTTGTCACAGACAAGAAAACTTAAGCACAGGGCGCCTGGGTGGCTCAGTCGTTAAGCGTCTGCCTTCGGCTCAGGTCATGATCCCAGGGTCCTGGGATCGAGTCCCGCATCGGGCTCCCTGCTCGGCGTGAAGCCTGCTTCTCCCTCTCCCATTCCCCCTGCTTGTGTTCCTGCTCTCGCTATCTCTCTCTCTGTCAAATAAGTAAATAAAATCTTTAAAAAAAAAAAAAAAAAAGGAAACTTAAGCACAGAAAAGTTAAGTTGCCTACAGCCAGACAATTAATGAAACACAAGATTCAAACCCAATCTATGTGATCCACTGTTCATCATTTTACTCCACACTTTCTTGTCTTTCTTAAGTTAAAGGATATCAGAATTTATAAATAATCTAAACATTCCAAGCAACCAGCAGGCAGAAAACAATATCAAACTAAGAAGGAGCAAGGACATCATACCCATAATAAATCCTAAGTGTATCGAGGAGAAACTGCACACCATACTTCTTTCGGAAAACTCTCCTGCTGTCTTTGATGATGGTGGAAAGATACTGTATGTGACCTAAAATACAAAGTTCACTCTTAAATGAACACCTAAAATAAAATCCCACAGGTAGTTATAAATTTCTAAAACAAATGTAAAATTTGATCCAACGGACTGCTCTCACCAATTCGAAAGGGAAAATCTCCACGGTTCCAAATACGGAAGTCAAAGAGTAAATATTGATACATTTGCTGCAGGAGCTGTATATTTTTCTCTAATGATACCTGTTCAATTAGTAACTGAATTGCCATCAGTACATTAACATCCATCAAGGAGCTTGGCACCTGAAATCCAAACAGATAAGGGTTCTGTAAATTTCAATTATCATTAAGCTACATTTAATTTCAAGTGATTAATTCAGAACATCACTATATGAGAATCTCTGTTACAAATATATAAACAAATAAAAAATATAAACAAAAATATAAAAACTTTAATTTTCCAATGTACACTAGAACATATTTTCCTAATGTCATATTCCTAAGACACTCTTTTTTTTTTTTTAAAGATTTTGTTTATTTATTTGACAGAGAGAGACACAGCAAGAGAGGGAACACAAGCAGGGGGAGTGAGAGAGGGAGAAGCAGGCTTCCCATGGAGCAGGGAGCCCGATGTGGGGCTCGATCCCAGGACCCCGGGATCATGACCTGAGCCGAAGGCAGACGCTTAACGACTGAGCCACCCAGGCGCCCCTCCTAAGACACTCTTAATCAAATATCCCAAATACCAATACTAACAAAGTCCTATATATTAAAGATTATATACTATTATATAAGATGAGTAATTCTTGTAAAAAGGTGATTCCAAAGTAGGTTTTAAAAATCTGCTTGTGAAATAAAATTACATTCACGAATATAACTGAAACCATAATAGTGTTATTTAAAAAAAATTTACTTAGTAAGAAGAAAAACCTTCTAAAGACAAACTGCTAATTACAATCATTAGCCACATCTACAAATGTTTAACTAGCTCACCTTCTGAAGTAAGGCACCAAGAGTGGCAACTCCATGGCAATGAATAAGATTGTCCTGGTTGATAGGATGTCTTTGAATGAAGTGTTTCACAATCAAGATAAATGTTGCAATTAAATTTCTTTCTAATCTTGACTCTGAGGAATTGTGAACATGTCATTAATTATCATAATTAATCACTTTTACATCACATTTTCCATGTTATAATGCATATTGTAACAAAGAAGAAATTTGGTTGAGCAATTTGCTTCCAAAGGTCACTTGCAGAATGCAAGTATCAGAGAAAGCAGTGACTGCATATCGTATACTTACATACACATGCAAATATTTTCTCTACCATACATTTAGCAATTCTGTCATATTTCCACTAATAGTACAAACTAAGGATAGTCAAGAGTAAAACCAACTTCTTAATTTTTTTGACTAAGGCATTATGAACTTTTTGAATTACATTAGTAAAATTAGGGATGGGCTGCTTCAGCTACAAATGGTTAAGTTTCTTCCTAATGGTGGCAAGACATTTTTAACTACTTTTCAATTATCAAATTTCTCAATGACTATTTTGTGTTAATTTCATCTTAATACCTGATGCCTTTGTGGAGGTCAATATGACCCAATCTCCTTCTACAGGCGTTATTAATTCAGAAACTGAACTTTCATTCATTCCTTCAGAAATCTGTCCTTCACCAAAGTGGCTGATTTGTTCCAACAGAGGAAACAGTACATTTAATCCACCTATGCAGTTTATGATGTCCTGAAAAAAGAAAACTACAATTTTTTAATCTTAAAAAACAAGGACAATTTTGTCATTTAATATTCACACAACCGTGTACGAGGTTACAATTTACTAAACTTTTGGGCAATGTACAGGATAATCTAATGTAAAGGAACCCTTGTTTGGGCAGATGCTTTAAAGAGTAGCCACAGGGGTCACCATAATCAATATTCAAGACTATGCCAGACCATTTTTACTGCACCTTTGTTTTCCAAAGTTTAGGGATTCCAAACACAAGCAATCCAAATTTGACTCCATAAGTAAACTTTATAATGTCACACTAATGATATAAGAGGAAACAACTGTCATAAGGCAATTAAGTATAATGAACAACAAAATAAATTAAGAAAAAAATACATTTGGTGGTAGAAATATGACTGACTCCTCTCCTTTCACTTAACAAAAAAGGTGAAGTGGGTGGCTTCAACCGAAGTTCAAAGTGACTATTTTGTTTTGCATAGCTTAACAAAATACAGTTCATATTCTTTAACAAGTTACTAATCTCTCTGGCCTCAATTTTTTCATCTGTAAAATGAGGATAATAATAATTCCCACTTTGTAAAGTTGATAGCAGGATTAAGTAAGCTAATAAAGGAGTGCTTAGTGTCTGACAAACTGGGTACTACCCTAGGTTAGCCATCATTAACTGCTAAAATGTTCTGATCTACCATTTAGACTCAGTTTCATTGATTAAACAACCCTCTTCATACTTTTTGCCTGTTTTTCATACTGATTTTTAAGGTATTAGTAAGTAACTTAACTTTTTGGATAGCAAGTATTTTTTTCTCAGTTGTCATTTAACTATTTTTGTGTTTGATTTTGTTGCAGTATAAAAATACAATGAACGTAAGAGATACTGAACTCCAGGAAACGAACTGAGGGCTGCTGGAGGGGAGGCAGGTGGGGGAAGGTATAATTGGGTGATGGGCATTAAGGAGGTACTTGATATAATGAGCACTTAGTGTTATATGCAACTGATGAATCACTAAATTCTACCTCTGAAACTAGTTTAAAAAACCTCTTAAAAAAAACAAAAACAAAAAAAGTAAAATATAATTTTCTGAAGGAAAAGAATACAATGAACATTCTTAGTAATTCTGTTCCCATTGGATTTCCCCATAGTTGTAACTCAAGGCCCCAAAAACTACTTTGATTTTCAAGTATAATGTACAGCACAAATAATCAGCTTTCTGTATATGTAATACATGCAACTAGCCTTTAAAGCCAATCTTATAAGTGACAGCAAAAGTTAACTTATGAATGGACAAATGTCATAAATCTTACTATTTTAACAGGTAAAATTAAGTGGTCTCATCTCAAAGTCAAAGAGAAAAATGCTTTATACCACATGAATAACATGAGACTGACATGAATTGATAGATTCATTTTACACTGGCAAGATCCTAACGATCTCTGATCCACTGAAACAATAAGCATATCTGATTGGTGTTAACTGACTACAAGTTAAAAGGGACTTTGGGGACTCCTGGCTGGCTTAGTCCATTGAGCGTCCAACTCCTGATTTCAGTTCAGGTCATGATCTCAGGGTCCTGGGACAGCCCAGTGCCGGGTTCCCCGCTCAGCAGGGAGTCTGTTTGAGGATTCTCTCTTTATCCTTCTCCCTCTGCCCCTCCTCCTGCTTGTGCTCTCTCACTAAAATGTATAAATAAAATCTAAAAAAAAAAAAAAAAGATAAAAAGGATTGTTCTGCTGATTTACCAGCAAGTTGCCTTATAACCATCTTCTATATTTTTAATTTTACTTAGGCTATAATTTCTATTTAAGATAAATTGCAAGGGACTAGGGTATCTCTAACTTGACTTTCATATTAATCTAAATACCCTTTATTAATTTAATAATTCAGTCAACAATGTTACTGCATATCCTCGTACGAGGCACTAGTGAAAAAAAGCCATAGTCCCTCCTTTCGAAGTTCTGAAGGACTACTGGAGAATCAAAGCAAGCAAACTATCAAGCAAGTTACTATTCACAATAAGTGAAATGATAAAGTGTTACAGGTACTCATGACAAGAGCAGTTAACTCAGTCTCGGAAAATAAGCAGAGGTCTCTTAGAACCAAAGGCATTCATTATGTCCAACTGACACATAAATACGAGGCACATCAAGAAGGCAGACAAAATATGATAGCTAGAGGGGGATGTGGGGAAGAGGAAAAGTCACTCATCTTTAGCCTCACAGAAAGCTCTGTGTTTAAAGCTAATAGACAGGAGACTACAGACAGAAGTATGTGATACAGGAGAAAAAGGATAATCAATGAAGTCCCTGAGAGGTTAGGAGGGGTTGAAATCTGCCAGGGATTAAATACCTTAAAAGCAAAGCAATGAACCAAGGCAGTATATTCTTCTTAAGGAAACTGTTAAATTCATGACAGAGTTTAAGAAGGTAACTACATTTCAAGCAAGTTAATCATTCAACTATTTATTTGTTTATACTTCAAACTGTGTATCTTGCCTGCAAAAATTTTCACTGGGAGTTATTATTCAGATCAGTCTGGTGGTGCTTAAAAGATAAACTCTTTAAAAGGATCAGTAAACTTACATAATATGTTGCTCATCATTAACTTACCTTAATGTCCCAGTTCACTACTTTGTTTCCTGTTAATCTTCCATGCAAACAATTAGTAGATAAATCAAGACAGATTGAATTTTTGCAGGCCTAAGAATAAAAGGAAAATATGGCAAACATCTAAGCACAATGAGGACAAAACATAATTTTAACTATATATGAAACATTTCACCATAATTTAAAAGGGTATATATTATAATCAATGATAAGATGCTTACAACATGAAGTTTAGTATTACTATTCTGACTGCCTCTTAAAAGAATGAGGGACTAGATTCTAAAGCACTCACTCATCAAAACTAAGTCACTGCTGCTTGCCATCCGACCGATGAGTTATAGCAACAACTTACTCACCAATCACCACAGTTTAAAATTTTTTCTCTTTTAAGAACAAACTGATGGTTGCCAGAGGGGAGGGGAGGAGGGGGTCATGGGCAAAATGGGTGAAGGGGAGTGGAACATATAGGCTTCCAGCTGTGGAATGAGTAAGTCACAGGGAAAAAAGGTAAAGCATAGGAGATATAGTCAGTGGTACTGTAACAGTGATGTATGGTGACAGATGGTAGTTACAGTTGTGAGCACAGCATAACATACAGACTTGTCAAATCACTATGTTGTACAACTGAAACTAATGTAACATTGTTGTGTCAACTATACTTCAACCAAATTAATTCTGTGAAGTTAAAAAAATTAAAAATAAAAGTTTTAAACCAATATATGCAAACATATTTTTGGCTCTTCAAAAAATTCAATACTTTATTCCCATCAGTATTTCGCTAGGCATAATTTCATTGATACAAATAAAATATGTGTATAAATGTGATACAGAAATCACGAAAGAGAAAAATATGATATAAAAATCCAATCACAGGCATACGACACTATTTTCTTTCATGTTATTGACAATTCTGGTTATATTCATACTCAGAGTCTAGTCCATCATCCTAGAAATTGTCAAACTTATTTGTTAACTTCCATAAAGAATTATAAAGCATATAACTTCATGTTCAATCTGTGAATTTGCAGATAATGAAGCATCCTTGAATCCAATCACCATTCCAAAAAAAAAAAAAAACCCTACAAATTTTAGCACAAATGATGCATTAGTTGCTTTCTTCTTAAGGCAACTGAGAAAAAAATGCTTTAATAAAACAAATGTAAGCTGAGTTTACATTTAACTCAACGTAAAACTGTATTAGTCTCAGAGACAGAAATGTCTTTCTCCCATTACTACCTTAGTTTGGGTCTTGTTTATCTATGACCTATCCTCACACAATAAATCTCCTAATGGCATGGCTGCCTCCCATCTCCTATCCCTCCAATCCAACTTTCATAGTGCAACTTGAGACCTTTCTCTAAAATGCAAACCTTATCATATTTTGTTCTTCTCCTCAAAATCCTGTCCTGTCCACTGCCTACTTAGCCTGGCATGGGAGGTTTGCTATCATCGGGCCTCCATGTGCCCTCTAATTTAATTTCCTGCCATCTTCTCTTCCTGCTTGCTTAGTGCCCTAAACCCAAAAAATGTAGATCCCAGTTTTACAGTATGTGCCTTTTAGATGCTGCTTGCTACGCCTGGCACATCCCTACTCAACTCTTCCTTTTAAAACACAATCTTCTAACCTCCTGAAAGAACCAACCACTCACCTTTGTTGCTGACTGTATTTTGTACATAATTCCAACACAGAAATATTGTATAGTGGTTAAGAATATGCATTAAATAGGCTGAGTTCTAACTCCAGCACTACCATTCACTAGAATTATGAGGCTAGGCAAGTTACTTATCTTTACTGAGCCTCAGAAAACTAGAGCTTATAAAAGACACAGGTAATACCATATACCCCTTAGAGTTTTTGTGAAGGGTTAAGTGAAACAATACATGTAAAACATTTAGCATAGTGCTTAATATAGTGTAAATACTCAATAAATGGTAGCTAAAAAGAAAAATGCTCATAAAATTATATTGCACTTATTGTTTTTTTACATATTTACTTCAGTTTAAGTTACAAGCTTCTTAAAGTCAGACACTTTATTCATCTTTATATCCTGAAAGTTCAGCACAATTCTTGGCTTGGAGAAGACACAAAAAATTATCAACAATGAATGGTTTAACACCTCCTACAAATGAGTACAAAAAGAAAAACTGTTGACTGTCAAAAAATCCTCTAGAGCAGCTTTTCCCAGACTAGCACTTGTGAGATTAAAAAACAGAACATGTTCTATGCTCAAATAACTGATGAAAAAGTAGGATAAAACAAAAGTAAACTAGTTTCTAACAAGATTCTAATAAGCTTTTTCAAGTGTATCATCAATCTCCAAAATGGGTGTACAGAATACAACATTTCCCCAAACTCTGTTAACCATAGAACCCTCATATCATGATATTATCACCATTTTCAAGAAACAGTCTTCCAAGAAACTGTTTATTGCATATATTTGTCATACTGAGTTTCTTGAAGAAAAACAATAATAGCTATTTTCTTTTTTTTTTTTTTTTAGATTTTATTTATTTATTTGACAGAGACAGACACACTGAGAGAGAGAACACAAGCAGGAGGAGTGGGAGCGGGAGAAGCAGGCTTCTCTCGGAGCAGGGAGCCAGATGTGGGGCTCAATCCCAGCACCCTGGGATCATGACCTGAACCGAAGGCAGATGCTTAACAACTGAGCCACCCAGGCGTCCCAGCTATTTTCTTATTACAGAATTTTTACTGCTGGAAATTCCAATAGTAAAAATTCAACCTAATGTTATCAAGTTTAAATTTGAAAAGAGAATATGACAACCATAATGTCAAAAAGACTCAGCTATCAGATGTCTAGAACATGTGAGATACCAAATACACTACCAAATACAAATACCTTAGTGAGATTAAATTCAATTATTTCCTATCTACTTATAATAGAGTGAAAATAAATATATATGATATAGTTCCTGCGAAGAAAATAACTTGAAGTCTAGTTCAGCAGACAAACATATCTCTGGAAAAAGTCAGTGTTACAAAAGGCAAACACTAAAAAAATAGGAGGCCCAAGAGACATTATAGTCAATGCAAGGCATGAACCTTGATCCAGATTTAAGTCTTTAAAAGGCTAAACAAAATATTTTTGGGAAAATCTGAATGAGTTATATAGTATGTAAGTTATTGATAATTTTCCTAGGTAGGTTAATGATTACATAGAAATATTTAGGGGTAAAGTGTCTGATAGCTATGTCAATCTGCCTTCACAAAAGATTAGAGACAAAGTCACAGGTATGGCAAAATGTTAATAATTGGTGAATTCAGGTGGACAGTATACACAATTTCAGTTTACCATTCTTTCAACTTCTCTAGGCTTGAAATTAATAAAAATAAAAGGGGAATACAAATGATAGGTACATTTTATTAGGTCAAATATCACAAATAAGAATTCAAAGTAATAAATTATGACCATGTACTAGCTGGCTAACCTAGAAAAAAAATTCTACAGTGTATAATCTCACAAAAAGCATCTTCTGGGTCAAAGTTTAGTATAATGAAGGCAACTAATGTTGTTTATGCCATTTTTCCTTTTCTTCCTCCCAGTTCTACATTTGATCTTTCCCTCAGCCCTTGCTGACCTTAATTACTTTCGCTAGGTAGGTCTTTGAAGGAAAAAGGACAATGCATGCTATGCATGTAAGTAGTTTCTTTTTTCTCCTTCTGAAATAAACACTTCAATTTTTTTTGGTTTGTTTTCTTGAAATAATTTTAAAAATAAACAAAAAAATGTTGAGCATTATTCTGTTTAATCTCTCCTTCCAAAAAAGTAGGATAATATAAGTTTAAACAGTTTCATTCACTGATGTCAATTCATTAGTACAAATTCCCGCCACGATTCCCACTCATCCTACTGGGATGACATAATGATTAACATTTGAATCCTAGTTGAGAAGTACACCTTAATTTTTATTGCTTCTCCTCTTCTTTTGAAAATTAGTAATTTTTTAATGGAAATTCAAGATTGTCTTTCTCAATTATCCATTGAAATGACAAAAGGAACAAAAAAGGAATTTTAGTTCACAGCATAGTTACAACTAGACACACTCCATGCATTTACTCTCACCTTTGCAGTGTAATGAAGAAGGATGTTACCATGCAGTTCAGCCATGTCAGACTCCTGAAATTTCCAAGGGCTTAAACAGTTTGGACCTGAAAATTATTTATACACATATACACAAACATCACTGAATATATATGGCCTCTTTGGTTCTGTGTAATTAGATAAAATTTAAAATTAAGTTGTTTCAAGCTACTCAACACAGTCAAAACATACTAGCCAACATGAATTTTATTTTTCCATCACCTCCAGTTCATCTAAAACCTAGAAAAGCTAGGGAGTGGTTTGATCTCCACTACAGAAAGGAAATTTTATATGGTATTAAAAAACTAACATCAAATATAACAAAATTTACCTATTAGCTTGTCTAATGTTATTTAAATTTATAAGACAAAACAGCAAAATAATCAGCCAATAATGTGAGTAGATATCACAGAAACTGAACAGTAAATTAACAGGACTTCCTAAAAAATCAAAGAATACAAATTACAACAAGGTTCCATCTTAAATCAAAAAATGGAGGAAACAGTACTGACCATTCCATCTTAGTAAGGCTGTGGCGAAACTAGTATACTTACGTTTTACTAGTATGCACTGTGAACTGGTATACACCTTTTGGAAACTGATTAGGCAACATGTATTGAGAGCCAAAAAAAAAAAATTCGAACACTTTGAATATTTATCCTGGGATTTATCATAAGTAAACCCATCCAAATAAGGAAAAACATTAAAAGTACAATAGTTCATATTATTTAATATTTGAAGTTTATATCAAATTAAAAATTAAAAACAACCTAAGTAAGTCATGCAATATAGATTCAATGAAATATTATGCAGCCCTTCAAAACAATCATTATGAAGACTATACAACAAATTATTATTATTTATAAGAGTAGAATTACAAGTTGGAAAAATTATGAAAATAAAATCCAAACTATATAAGCTGTAATGACTACACCAAATGACTTATTATTAACTTATAATTTATTTAGATTTTAGATCACTTTCAAATATTTTGGTGAGTTTTATAGTAATGATAAGGTTCTAATATAAACTTTCAAAGTCTAGGCAGTCCCATTCAACTCAAAACTCCTATGTAACCTAAAAAAGATATTTTTACATATAATAGCTCTTCTGCAGTTAATATATATGAATTCTTAGAAGTTTACCTCCTGAACATCCTACTAGAATACAGATATAACTTTGAAAATAGTTATGATCCAATAATTAACAATCAGTGTGTATCTTTAAAATCACAGCCAAAAGAAAAGGAAAAAGCCAAAACAAAAATAGCTTGTAATCTTATCCAAGGTCTCCTAATTCTTCTGTCCTCATTTCTTCAGGTACATTAATATATAAATTATAAAAATGACCAGTTCTAGAACAAGACTTACATGATCTTAGAATCAGTCATATGATTTCTTATAAACACAGGCTTATATTTTGTTTCAACAATTTATTAAAATCTGTCAAAAGTACTGGCAATATTATATGTTGAATTATGTCCCCCCAAACTCATATGTTGAAGCTCTAACCCCCTGTATGACTGACTATAATTTGGAGATAAGGTCTTTAAGGAGGTAACTAAGGTTAAATAATGTCCCTTATAAGAAGAGGAATAGACATCTTTCTTTTTGCACATACACCAAGGGAAGATGGACACCATGTGAGGACACACTGAGAAGGTAGCCATCTACAAGCCAGGAAGAGTCATCAACAGAAACCAAGCCTGAAGGAAACTTGATCCTGGAATTATAACATCCAGAATTGTGAGGAAATAGTATATAAGCCACCCAAGTCTGTGGTACTGTGTTACAGCAGTCCTAACAGACTAATACAGACTTATTATGGATGATATTTGAAAAATTCCTAAAGGTTTGCTTTATTTATGCCTACCAAAAAAAGTATGGTGTACTATATTATATCCAAAAAGTTATTAAGAGAGTAGATCTTAAATGTTATCACAACACATATAAAGCATTGTAATTATGTGAGGGACAGAGGTCCTAACTAACCTTATTGTGGTAATCATTTTGCAATATACATGTGTATCAAATCATTACATTGTACTTCTTAAACTTACCTATGTTTTATGTCAATAATATGCCAATCAAGTTGGAGGTGTGGGGGGCATGGAATGTAGTGGGCTTTTTCTTCCCTTTCAGCTTCCATTACAAATACAAATATACTCTTCAGATCAAATATATTCTTCAAAATATATGTAAGCAACAAAAAAACCTATTTAAGTTTAAATAATATGACTGTACATGCTTACCTGCTAAATATAATGCCTTCACTTGAGGAGGCTGCAGTGCTTCAAAGAAGATGATAACAGACCCTAGCTGACCCTCCAGAGATGTGGGGCATCCCCATTCACTATCTTGGGTTCCAGCTGATATCAATTTGGTAATCAATTTTGATTTTTCAAGTGTTCCCCCCCAGGAGGCTGATGACAAAATTCCACCAAATGATGTCCGATGAGGGGTAATGGGGGAAGAAAAAGGTGGATCTGGGATTTGGGAAGGTGGAGGAGTGGTGGTTCTTTGCCCAGCTGAACCAATGCAGCAGGAAATAAAAGGCTAAAAATTAAGAAACAAATTACACAATTTTAATTACATCTCTATCTTGATATTGAAAACAGTACATAAAATTAAGAAAACAAATAGATGGAAAAAAACTGAAAGTTTTAATTTTATTGCATCATAATGTGTGCATGTGTGTGCGCACATTAAGAAGTCATTATAGATGTTACTCTTGGCCTATGGGATTTAGATGCATTACTTTTATAACTCACATTTTAATGATTATTTTTTAAAACTTTAACAATTTTACTATATTCTAAAAGAGAGGAAATTACTACTTTTATCCCTTTAAAATGTATAAACAGAACTACACATTTGTATAATAATACTAATTACAGGTTATCCTGTAATGAGCATCAGGATAAACATCAACAAGAAATTACTAGACTCCTAGGACGACTTGGGAAATAATATATCTCATTATCTTCAAAAAAGGCTCTTTCAAAATCATCTCAGAATTCTCAAAGAACTTTTACACTAATGTTCTTTAAGAATCATCTCAGTAAATAAATTCCACCTTGTATCTGACTACATTATAATATGTAAAGGCTTAAAGTTTCTTCATTATTATTTCAAATTCAGTGGGATAGAAAACAGTCCAACATAATAGTCTCTAAGTATTTTGTATACAAGGTGGACTTTATTTATTTATTTAGATTTTATTTTTAAGGAAACTTTAAACCCAACATGGGGACTGAACTCACAACCCCAAGATCAAGAGTCTCATGCTCTTCTGACTGAGCCAGCCAGGCACCCCTGTGAGGGCTTTATTAAATGATCCTTTGCTCTGCTCTATTCAATTTCTTTGGCTTTCCTATTATAAGTCTTTTTTCCCCTAAGCCTTTAACTACATTTGTTTCTTCCTTAAGTTGTTTTAATTACATGTTGTCTGACTTCATCTAACAATGATAGGCTAATAGTATTAAATATTAACTTACTGTATCTTAGAATATAGAAAACACTTTAAAATTTATGGGCACATATTTAAAATAAACAGAACCTTCTACATTAAACAGAAAATTTTCAAGAGTTCTCAACCAATGGGTCCCATAAAGAGTAGGTTAGATGCGGAGAAAGGGGAACCCTCTTACACTGCCAGTGGGAATGCAAGCTGGTGCAGCCACTCTGGAAAACAGCATGGAGATTCCTCAAAAAGTTGAAAATAGAGCTACCCTATGACCCAGCAACTGCACTACTGGGTATTTACCCCAAAGATATAAATGTAGCGATCCAAAGGGGCACCTGCACCCCAATGTTTACAGCAGCAATGTCCACAATAGTCGAACTATGGAAAGAACCCAGATGTCCATCGACAGATGAATGGATAAAGAAGATGTGGTATATATATACACACAATGGAATACTACTTAGCCATCGTGGATCACTGCATCAAAAACTGGTGCTGTATTGTATGGTGACTAACATAACATAAAAAAATAAAATTAAAAAAAATGAAATAGTGCCATCTCCAACGACGTGGATGGAACTAGAGGGTATTATGCTAAGTGAAGTAGTCAATCAGAGAAAGACAACATATGATCTCACTCATATGTGGAATTTAAGAAACAAAACAGAGGATCATAGGGGAAGAGAGGAAAAAATAAAACAAGATGAAACCAGAGAGGGAGACAAACCATAAGAGACTCTTAATCACAGGAAACAAACTGAGGGTAGCTGGAGGGCAGGGGGGTGGAGGGATGGGGTAACTGGGTGATGGGCATTAAGAAGGGCATGTGATGTAATGAGCACTGTGTATTATATAAGACTGATGAGTCACTGAACTCTACCTCTAAAACCAATAATATATTATATGTTAATTAATTAATTTAAATAAAAAAAAGAGTAGATTAGATGTGCTTACTTCATTCATGGCAGGAAATCTGAGAGGGGCAGAGACCTTCTGCTGTCCGTTGTCATAGATATAGACAAGGCTCTGACCAAAGGGTCTTTTTCCAGGCATGTGAACAATGGTTATGTTGTGCTAATAAAGTAAGACATACATTTAAAGACTAAAATTACATTAAATCTTTGGAATGACAAATGTTTTCAGAGTATTACTTTATAACTAGTTTGTGTTAATAGTAGAACATTGAGTTTAAGCATACTTAAATGCTGGTTAAAATTTTGTTCTTAAAGTGAATGACAATTTTTCTTGTAGTACTATAAAGGCATTTACATCTGTTCTAGAAACTTTATACATAATTTTAACAGAGTATCTTTTCTGCATTTTCCAAGTTTGAGTATTCTTTACAATCAATTTTTCTAATGAGAAGCAATTTATACTTCAAGAAAAGCAACCGAAATGCATTGTTTTTTAATAATTTATGTTCTCATTTTAAATTGAATTTCAAAATCAAATCTGATTTTAGAAAACTTGAGATTATAACACTTCCTTTTAATTTTTTAGAAGAAAACTTACTACTGCTGAATTTATAATGATGATGATAATAATATTAACTTCCTTATAAACTTCAACATACATAGAATTTTAAAGTGAAAATTAATCGACTCTCAAAAAGGAGACAACTCCTGATGTACATACACCAAGTGTGTCTTTAAAGGAAAGAACCAGAAAGTTAAATGTGATGTCCTAAAACCTTACCCAGAGGGAATCACAGAAACTGTGGTCAGGAAGCATAACTGTAGCATATTCTCTTTTTGTGCACACTGCCACAACCAACATACCTGAATGGGTAATAAAAGCTTCGAAACCCATGCCACTTCCTGTAAAGAAGCTAACAAAAATATATATTATAAGAACTTTCGAAATCAGTTTTTCAGCTTTATCATCACTGAAACACACAAAACCATGTCATCATGAATATCTTTATCAGTAATGCTGTGGCTTACATTCTATTGCCACATGTCAGTCCAATCTTGCTTCAAAGATAATTCTTAAATCTTTTTGTGGGCTTACTGGTTTAGTAAATTATTAAAGGTAGCCATATGAGTGGAATTCCATTATCAAACAACAGTAAAACAATAAACTTTCAAATCTTCAAAATTCTTTCAAATAGGATTCAGAAAGCATAAATAAAAGTCTTAAAAATCACAAGGCATATTAAAAATTATTAGTTACTGAAGTAACTAAGTTTGGATGTACATACACAAAGGTTTTCTGATCCTTCATATAAATATACAGCATTTTCAATGGAACACAAAGATCACCATTCATTTTAAAATTTGTTATTCTTGGGACGCCTGGGTGGCTCAGTCAGTTAAGCGTCTGCCTTCAGCTCAGGTCATGATCCCAGGGTCCTGGGATTGAGTCCCGCATCGGGCTCCCTGCTCCGCGGGGAGCCTGCTTCTCCCTCTGCCTCTCTCTCTCTATCTCTCATGAATAAATAAAATCTTTAAAAAAAAAAAAAAATTTGTTATTCTTTTTTCTCTACTTTTACAATACTTTTAAGAAGGAACTTTTTTCCCAAACTAGCCTAAGAACTAGCAAAATATGTGAGACATGTAATCAATATCATGAAAGCAATAAAACACTTATAATTAAACTGTGTGCACCCTAAGGATAAAGAGACTTCAGATACACTGTTCTGCATTCAAAAATTAGATGCTTGAAAAGCTTTTTCCTCTTTGGGAATTACAGCACATATTGTTATGACAGTATTCATTTATATTCCATAACTTGTACCAGTACCTGTACAATTGTTTTCTTTTTCCTCCTTTGTTAGTATTGCCAAGAGTCAACTGATTCTGATCTAAGCAAAACCAAGCATTGAAAGAAAAAGCAGACCCTGGCCACTTCTGTATGGAAGGCACAGAAATTCCTGCCATACTATGTGACAAATTAAAATACTGCAGTGCGCTCTCTAGACTTTGTTTTCGGGCCATTGTCAGAATTGCTCGAGTCACAGGAGTGGTATAAGGGTGAATATACTCAGATTCATCCACTCTCAGCAATCTTAGTAGTCGACGTATTTCTTCTGAGCTCACTGACTGACTCCCCAAGGAACCATGAAGTGCAATCAAGTTCTCAGCACAAGTTCGATGGAGGGAAGAATGGGAATCAAGAGTTTTGATGATGTGAAGTCCCATGTTTGCATTGACACAAGTAGTTCGACTCTGCCTATTAATACAACAAATTCTTTTCAGCCAATCAGAGATGAAGATTTGCAGATCATGGGATTCTAGCTCTGGAAGCCACTGGATAAGAAGCAAGAGAGGGTGGACATTACTAATGCCCAAAATCCCAACTGAAGTGTGGTCACCCTCTACAGCCTATAAAGCAACATAAAAGACAAAAGGTTAGTAACCACCTTGGACATGGAGATAATGGAACTTGTTTAATAAAGCTAAAAAACTCACCATATTCATAAGTTCTTTAAGTAGTTCCAGTGGTGGCTGACCCAGGGATTTTAAAACCTCAAACATATGTGTATAACCAATTCTTTCTTTAAATACTTCCTAGAGGAAGGGAAATAAATACATCAAAGCACATTTTCAAAGACTGAATTTAATGGAATATTTAAAATGCTGAGTAAAGGGCGCCTGGGTGGCTCAGTCGTTAAGCGTCTGCCTTCGGCTCAGGTCATGATCCCGGGGTCCTGGGATCGAGCCCCGCATCAGACTCCCCGCTCTGCGGGAAGCCTGCTTCTCCCTCTCTCACTCCCCCTCTTGTGCTCCCTCTCTCTCTCTGTCTCCCTCTGTCAAATAAATAAATAAAATCTTTAAAACAATAAATAAAATAAAACGCTGAGTAACACCCATTTAAGTTAATTAACTTAATGTTGAAAAGACTGAGTTCAATATTTGCTTCCTAGATCACTTCTTCATCTTAAAATAAATTCCATATACCTTCTGAAATATGATGTGACCATAATCTACCAAAATACAATGAAATAAGCAATAATTGTATATTATAAAATTATTATATTAATTTCAGATTAGGGTACAATCACTTCCTTTCTTCACTTGATTTGTAATTATATAGTATTACATTAAGTCAAAACAAAAATGAAGAAAAAATGAGACTTTAGGGGTAACAGGAGTCAGTCTAGAAGACTAGTCTAGAAGACTAAAGAGTTCTGGCAATTTTGAGTGGTGACCAAAAAAAATGGGTAGTTTTCTCTCTGCTTTTTGTATCTAAATGGACTGAATTATCTGGAACATCAAGTTCATTTTAGTAAGGTCTAAAGTCATATGTATTTTTGAACTTGTGGGCACACAAAACCATAAAGTAAAATAAAAAGAGAACCAAAAAAGCTAGTAATACTAAATTGGTCCAGTAAATCAGGCATAAATTTACACACTCACTACAAAATCAAAAGATTCAAACAAAATGAGTAACTGGTTGTCTCTGGGGAGGGGAACTAGTTGACTGTGAGCCAAGGGTAGTAAGAGAATCTTTTTTCAAAAGGTATTTTTTAATATTAATTCAAAGGGATATAGCACCCCGATGTTTATAGCAGTATTAGCTACAATGGCCAAATTATGAAACAGCCCAAGTGTCCACCAAATGATGAATGGATAAAGAAGATGTAGTGTGAGAGAGAAAGAGTGTGTGTGTATGTGTGTATGTGTGTGTAGACAGATAGATATATAAATATATATATGATGGAATATTAGCCATAAAAAAGAATGAAATCTTGTCATTTGCAATGACACAGATGGATCTAGAGAGTATTATGCTAAGAGAAATAAGTCAGTCAGAGAAAGACAAATACCATATGATTTCACTCATATATGGTATTTAAGAAACAAAATAAACAGGCCAAGGGCAAAAAAAAAAAAAAAAAAAAAAAAGGAGAGAGAGAGAGCGAAAGAGGCAAACCAAGAAACAGTCTTAACTATAGAGAACAAACTAATGGTTACCAGAGGGAAGATGGGTGGGTAGGTAGGTTAAATAGGTGATGGGGACCAAGAAATGTACCTCTTGTGATAAGGACTGAGTATTGTATGGAATTGTTGAATCACCCTATTGTACATCTGAAACTAATATTACACTGTATGCTAACTAACTGGAATTTAAATAAAAACTTAAAAAAAAAAGAATACCAATCATTTTTTTAAAGGGCTTTTTTAAAACAGAGATTTTATTTATTTATTTAAAGAAAGAGAGAGAAAGAGAAAGAGAGAAAGCATGAGCGGGGAGAGGAGCAGAGGGAGAGGGAGAGAGAGAATCTCAAGCCGACTCCATGCTGAGCATGGAGCCAGACGTGGGGGTCAATCTCACAACCCTGAAATCAAGGCCTGAGCTGAGGTCAAGAGTCTTATGCTTAACTGACTGAGCCACCCAGCTGCCCCAAGAAAGGGTATTTTTAAAATAACCTTTTGAAAAAAAATAAATAAAATAAATAAAATAACCTTTTGAATTTTAAACCATGCAAAGCATTACATAATAAAAAAATTATATTTTAATAAGACTTAAACATCATTCCAGGTCTGAATATCATAATACAGTACAGCCAACCCATTATACTCATAAACCAGTTACTGAGAACTTAAAATTATTTTTTTCTTAGATCAACTATTATAAATGGGATTTGATTCCCAAGCCAGCCTGTAGAAGTTGTAAAAGCCTATCTGGTAGGCATCTAACCATGAGTTATACATAGCAACATTTATAGAGCAATCGTTAGTCTCCTAACAAAAACCAATGGACAGTAAGGAATACTACTGAAGGCATGGCTTAGGGAACAAAGAATAATTCATTCATGTCTGCCATTTATATTAGAGGTGGTAGACAGAAGGTAAAATGGTAACGGTAATAATAATGATGATGATGATAGGCACTGATATCCATTAAGCATTTATCATGTGCCTGGCACTATGCTTACCACTTTATACAGATGATCTCATTAATCCTTAAAACTATTCAATGAGGAAATTACTAGCACAAAATCAGCATCAGTGACCAGCAGGACAAAGTCAGTGGTAGTGAATGAGATGGAAAGAAAATCCTGAGAGTAACAAAAAAGCAGAATTTCCACGGCCAAGTGGAAAAACAAGTCCCAAACTGATAAGGCTGTTCACATGTGGAAAATGTTCACAATCTAGGCTGTCATAAACTGAGCAAATAGTCAAAGAGTGATTATTTTATTAATGAAGAAAAACTATGATATAAAATGTAATTCCTTAAACACACTAACCTCTAGAATCACATAAAATGATCATTTCAACATCAGTGCTACCTTTGTTGACTGACACTATAAATCTCTACGAAATTACAGTTCTATCATATAATCCCAAAGTAGTGCCCATAGGTGTTTGCTCTAAAATTATCAGCAAAATGATTCTTTACACTGAGATAGTTTGTGAACTATTTCACTTCAGGTGTGAAATCACAGGTATTATATACATACTTTCATACATTACTTTGGGAATTATACAGTGAAAATTAGTTTATCTAAAATAACATTTTAGAGCTTAAGGATGTATGTTTCACCTTAGCAGCTGGAGATTTGTTCATTACTGCTGTCAAAGCCTGAATGGTTGATATAGCCAAACAATCCAACTGTCCCTGAAACACCTACCATAGAGAGAGAGAGAAAAAAAAAAAGGTAAGAAATTAACAATGTGTTCAAGATTTGTATTGTTAGGAAACCTTTGTTCTGAAAACCTGAAAAAAATAATTACTTAACATGCAATACATTCCTCTTCCAATAAAACAGATTTCTGAAACACTATACCTGCAAGAAAAGTTACCTACTTGACAGAAAATAAGCCATGTGTCAAGAAGGATTAAAGTCACATTCACTCATTACTTTGAAATGTTTTGGAAAAAAACAAAAACCAAAAGAACACCAAGCTTAATACATGCTTTTAAAAATAATGGACAATCTCCAGAGGAAGGGAGGGAAGGCTATCACTAGAAATTCTATCACATTTTAATTTCCCTGCAGAAATACATTGAACTTCCTAGGTTGAAATTTCATTATCATGTATAATAAGATGTTTAAAATGGTGTTATTTGGTTTACAAGCCCTGCATTATAATTGAAATGGTATGTTTATTCACCAATCACACTTGCAAACACAAGGCGTATCTATTTTTACATAAAATGCAAAATTTGAGGCAGAATAGAAAATGAAACATGTATCTATAAGCACTATCATGTTTTTGAGAAGGCAACCTTTAATGCCAAAAGCTGTAAAAAATAAAAAAGTAAAAAATAAAAACCAGCTACAGCTTCATTTTGTCTATTTCTGTTTAAGCTTCATCATAAAGAGATGTGTTAAATTTCAGGGCCATGCATTTAGAGAAAAAAAGTGAAAACAAAAGGTAACATTAACAACATTAAGAAACTGAACATGAGTGTTTTATCATCAGGTTTAATCAACCATGAAAGCATAGCAGGAGAAGTAGAAAGTTGTAAAAACTCACAGTCCCAAAAATCTGCTTTTGGGAATATATTACTATGACTTAAACTAGTTACTCCATGAATAGGACTTTCCTTTCTCCCTTCCACTAAAAATGATTTGAGTAAAAGGGAACTGATTAGATCTTTGTCATTTTAAGCTAAGGTCTATCATTTTTAGGCTAGTTATTTAAGCCAGTATCTTGATTTTTGTTGATGTTATTAAACATTATGTAATAAACACATAATATATATTAATCATTCTGTATAAAGAATTTCATATGAGTAAGATCTTTCTTATACTTTGTTCAAGACGACTAGGCCATAGTACCTACAATTAGGAATACTAACATAAACCTCTAAGAATATCATTGTAAATATTTTATTAATCTACATAAGGCCTTAAGACTAACATTTATAGAGAAATCTAAAATAGTACTCTATAGTTGATATTTTACACCCAGAACAGAAAATAATAGATTTTCATGTCTCTTTACACCACAGCTCTATTTATAAACCTGGGTATTAAAATAACAAAAGACATCATGTAAGCTCTCTGAAAACATTTTGGGAACGATAAAAACCAAAGCATTTTTAATAGGTAGTTTTTTTCAAAACTGAATTACCTAATGCTGAAAAGCAACAAAAATTGCTTATTTCTGCTCTATACCCATACAGGGGTGACTTTTTAGAAAAGAAAACAGTTAAAAGTTTTATACTAAATTAAGACTCAAAGAGTTCAGCATCTTCTCCCCTTCCTCCAGGATTCGGATGTCCATTGAATTATAATCATTACTTGCCAACAAGAAGCAAAGAATCAAGATATCAAAATTGACCATACATATTCACAAATAAAGCCTAAGGTTCCAATACACCACAATGCTTAGAGAAAGAAGCTCCCAAAATATGAAGTCACCACCACGTGGACAGCATTGATATTGGGATTCCATTCCTGTACTTTGTGTCTCCTTAAACTGAAAAGAATGCACACATATACAGATGGAATACTGTTGATCATTTATATCAACCACCAAGATTTCAATATATTTATCTTTTAGATGAAAAAAAATTTATTTTTAATTTTTTAACAATTTTTAAAAATAATAAATGAAGATTAGAATTAGATAGTGTTTGTATATTTTAAGACATAAGAGAAAAGTACAGGAATAGTTGCTCCCATTGACTGATTTTGGACTTCAGATGAAACAAGATGCAGGCTTTGTAGATACCTGGTCCTCATTTATTTCTGTCAGTAATTTGTTGGCAAGGTCTTTCTCGTTCTTGTCTGCCACCTTAGTGTTAGCATTTAAAAAGAGCTGTTAAAAACAGAGACAAGAATAATGGAGAAAGAACATGAAATAGTTACCTATAAGCAGAAATGAAGTTTAAATGGATTTCCATATCTCTTGAAAATAAATTCAAGAACCCACTGGTGAAGTATATCACTTTTAAACTGACAATCAACTATTCACTTTTTGGATTACAAACTAACATTAGTTCATATACTATATAATTAATTGTTAGTTATTTCTCTTTTGGAACTCGAAGTCACTAAAATAAGAAATAATAGCAACAAGCAGATTAGTTAATATTCCTAAATTCTTCAAGAATCAGCAGAAAATGTCTCACAAGAAAGAAGGAAATTTGCTATTGAGGTAGATTAAAGATACTGTAGTAAATAATGTGCAGTAAGGATTCTGTAGTCAAGTATGTTTATAAAATGCTATTAAAAAAGAGTTCTTTCTGAAAATACTTATCAGAATCTCAAATATGCTAATGTGTTTTGACAAAGGAGGTAATTATTTTCCAAAATTATGAAGAGTTGAGTATAATTTATATTAGTTTCTACACAACAGGGGATTAGGATTATCTCTGACATACATGGGGATTGCTAAGGGAATCAAGTATTTTGGTTTAAGTATATAAAATTAGCATCCCAAAAGATCTCCGGCACATTTTGTATAAAAAGAAAGATAATTCAAATGTAAGTGAAAAGGGAAAGAAAGTTAGATTTATAAAGGAATTTATCAAGAGCAGCCTAAGAAGGAAGTTCTTAGGAAGTTCTATCAGAAAATAAAAAACAAAAGTCCATATACTGAAATAATGCAATATAAAATAAAATAGATAAAGATAAGGTATGACATGATATGTAGAACATATATAAAGCTAAACCTAAAAATAGATTAGTGTACACAACATAGGCATTGGAATCAGAAACCTGTATTTGAATCCTGGTTCTGCTAATTATTAGCTGTGTGGTTTTAAGAAAAATGACTTAACCTCTCTGAGCATATTTTCTCAAAAGGGAAAAGAGTAACTCATGAAACATGGGTGCAGATTAAATGAGGTAATCCACGCTAGGTTATTAACATAGTGTCTAGCACATAACAAGGGTTTAATAAATGAAAGCTGTTATTATTAACAGCAAAATTTACTTTTAAAGATTTTATTCATTTATTTGAGAGACAGAGAGAGTGACAGAGAAAGAGAGAGAGAACACAAGCAGGGGGGAGGGGCAGAGGGAGAGAGAGAAGTAGACTCCCCGCTGAGCAGGGAGCCAGACACAAGGCTTGATCCCAGAACCCTGGGATCATGACCTGAGCCGAAGGCAGATGCTTCACTGACTGAGCCACCCAGGTGTCACAACAGCAAAATTTTTTAAATGGTAATATTCCACATTATCTGGTGCAGGGAACAGAAATGCTAAAAACTGATGAAAGCAAAAATGAGTAAAGGCTTTCTAGAAAGCAATCCATATCAAGAATCTTAAAATTACTCTGTCAGTAACTGTATTTCTAGACATCTACCCTAAAAACGGTCAGAAACTCACACCAAGATTTTAAAACAAAGATGCTCACTTCAGCTTTATTTACAAGAGCATAAAGTAAGAAACCACCCAAATATCCTTTAATAGTAGAATAGTTAAATAAATTATGATTCATCCATATGCTGAAAGGGAAGTCCTTAAACTTTCTGGCCTCAAGACCACTTAACAGTCTTAAAAATTATTGAGAACCCCAAAGAATTTCTATTTATGTGGCATTACATCTCTCAATATTTACACATGAAAAATTAAAATCAAAACATTTAAGTAATATTTGTTTAGTCATTCAATATTACATGATGACATAAATAACACATTTTTATGAAAAAAACCTTTATTTTTCAAATATATATTAGTGAGAATGGCACTGCTTTTACATTTTTGCAATCTCTTTAAAAGTCTGACTTGATAGAAGACAGATGAACTCTAATATCTACTTTGCATTCAGACTGTTATGATAATGTTTTGATTCAAGTTTATGAAAAAAAATCTAGCCTCTAACTGAAATGTTAAGATTAGACTTTGCAGATTCCCTAAAATGATCTTGGGGACCCCATACTCTGAAAACTGCTGGGTTGAAATATTTGCAGTCATTAAAAACAATGTTTTGAAAAATATATGATGGTATATGGGAAAGACTCATGATATAATACATTTAAAAGCAGGATACAAAAATATTCACTGGTATTCCAATTTTGTAAAGAAAAATATATCCTCATTAAAAATATATGTGGAAATATTGTTATGGGTATTTTGTCACAGTTTTTAAAATTTAAAGATTTATATATACACACGTTTTATAAAAAGATTAAGAAAATATATTTTTTATATTTCTTTTTTTCCTCCAAAATCTATATTGATTATTGCTCTAGAATTGAAATAAAAATCTACTTTAAAAAAATGAAAAGAACCTTGTTCAAATAAGGCAATGTGTATGAATCCAGGCAGGTACAATTCCCAAAATCAACCTTTCAACTATACCATTCTATGTATCCACTCCCAACAATCTTTTCCACAAAGCATCCCTTAGTTGTTCCTTTCATAAATTCTCATTCCTACCAAAACTGCTTTAGTGATAATTTTTTTGTTGTATTTGATTTTCAGAGGTGGAGGTGGAGAAGGAAAGGAAGAAAGTGAAGAAAATAAATTAAGGAATGTAAACAAGACAACAGTATCAATAGCTTTCCAGAATCTTATGACTTAAGTCCTCAAACAGAACTTTACATATTTATAATACATTGCAACGTCTATATTTTTTTAAAAACTGATTAAAACTCCAAGCAGAATGCTAAAGTAAATGTTATGGTTATGGGTTCACCCTCTCTTTGCTACTAGAAATTTTCTGTTATCTTCTTCTCATTACTCCAAATACCTTAGACAGCTTCTAAAAATAATTTTTACATTAATTCAAAGCATATCCCCCTTCCAAAATGCAATATGGTGACACAAAACAACTCTCAAATGTTTAAGGTTCATCATAGCTATCAGAAAAGTTACATGTATGATTTCACTGAATTATATTCTAAGTACTTCACAGTAAGATGAAACTCATTTTGACAAACCAAAGGTCTTTACACAAATACTTAAGGAAATTAATGCATAAACTGGCTGGTGAATCTCATACAAAAAGAAAGCACAGAAACTACAGCAGTCAGCCTAGTTTTCCATGTAATTCATAAAATGTTTGTTTAAGCTTTAGATGACAATGTTTCCTCTGAGTCTGAATATTTAAACAACAGTTGTCTTGATTCTGTATTACTATGTAAAATAGAATAAATTTATTCCTTACTAACAAAATAATTTAAACAGAAGTCAATCATAGTCATCTGTAGCATCCTGTAATATATTTAAGAACTTAAGTTTTCACAAGATTCCGAACATTTTTATACATTTAAGAATCATATTAACCTATCCCTATCAAATGTATTTATCAATAAAACCTGTACTCCTCCTATATTTAATACACAGAAAACATTTTTCCACTGACCTTAAGTACCAATACAACAAAATTACATACAACCAGTGAACTCAGGGTCAGAATACCTGAATAAGAAATCCTGGCTCCATCATGGAACAGTATTAACCTTGTGTTAATCATTTAATCTCGTAGGACCTATTTCTTCATTTGTATAATAAAAGAGTTGGGCAGTCTATTTTAAAGGTTCTTCCATGTTGTTAGGACTTAGTAACTGTAATGTTTAGTGATGAGTTTATAGTGATTCTGACTAGAATATCCTGCCTAGAACACCACCTCCAGCAGAGTAGGCTGGGGTCCCAAAGCCTGGCTTTCCCCTCTGAAATGGGTTTCTTCTCTAGCATTTCCTGTCTCAAAACAAAATGTGGTAAATGCTATCAAGTAATTAAATTTTAAAATGCTAGGACTGTCAGCAAGTCTCCAGATCTGAATTATAAGGAACTCTGGCCTATAGGACAGTAGAAAGAGCAAAAATCAGCTCAACATCATGACCACTACGCCAAAAAGCTTTGCACTTTTTAAAAAAGATACTTTTGACCCTGATATGACATTTTTTTAAATATCTGAGTTTCATATATTGAAGAAAAACACTAATCAATTTTGGTAGGAACTACATTTTATCCTAGTGATTTACTCTTCTCTAATGTGTGACTGGCAGGTTCTCTTATACATGGGAGATTTTGTCTTGATGAAGTTGCCTTTGTAACTGATAAAAACACATTGCTTTTTTTTTAAACAACAAACAAAAGGTTTTATAAAGTTTTCTTATGCTGTTTTCATCTCCCTAGGATTTCTTTCCCAAGAATAATGTTTAAAAGGTGGGGGGTGGCATCTTAACTCTCTAGTGGTAGTACTTTCATTGACTTTGTAAATATTCATCCTATTTACTTCATCTATATATTCCTTATTTTTTAAATACCATTTCTTTAATCTTTCTTTAATCTTATAAGCTAAGCAACATAGTGACAAAAATGCTTTCATGGATATCTCTCCTAACAGTGTGAAAAAATTTGAGGAGCTGATATTAAAATCCTCCTTTTCGGGATATCCTCACAAAATCAGAATGAAACCCTAGCATTTTTCAGCACAGATTCCATGAAAGGAATACCTCAAATAGAAAAGTAAAAGCTCGGGGCGCCTGGGTGGCTCAGTCGGTTAAGCAGCTGCCTTCGGCTCAGGTCGTGATCCCGGAGTCCCGGGATCGAGTCCCGCATCAAGCCCCGCATCGGGCTCCCTGCTCAGCGGGGAGCCTGCTTCTCCCTCTCCCTCTGCCTGCCTCTCTGCCTACTTGTTCTCTCTCCCTGTCAAATAAATAAATAAAATCTTAAAAAAAAACAACAAAAAAACTTAAAAAAAAAGTAAAAGCTCTTTGAAGTAGTTCCATTTTCAAAGGCTTTTCAAGAAGCATTCTAAAAAATTTCTGATACCATCTTGAAATTTATGAAAATATAATAATCAGATATTGTTATTAGGTACTCACAAATCTGCTACAAATGTAAACTAGTAAAAAAGAAAAATAATAGCAAATCGGCAGTATATATCAAGAACATTAACAGTATTTCTATTTTCCTACTTTTCTATATCCCCCAATTTACAAATTGTTTTTATACAATGTTCCCTAATTTTAAAAAAGCATGTTGGGGCGCCTGGGTGGCTCAGTCGGTTAAGCGTCTGCCTTCAGCTCAGGTCATGATCCCAGAGTCCTGGGATCGAGCCCCGCATCGGGTTCGCTGCTTGGCGGGAAGCCTGCTTCTCCCTCTCCCACTCCCCCTGCTTGTGTTCCCTCTCTCGCTGTGTCTCTCTCTGTCAAATAAATAAATAAAATCTTTAAAAAAAAAAAAAAAAAAAGCATGTTATGCCCTTTGACCTAGGAATTCTACTAGAAATAGAATTCTAGTCTATGAACTTGAAGGAGTTATGGAAATAAGTTGAGTATTTGCCATAGGGAATAGTTAGGTAAATTATGGTACATCCACTTAATATTATGTAGATATTAAAATCATAACACAGGAAAATGCAAACAAAATCATCTTACATGAAACAAAAGCACAAAATTATATGCATCAAATACACCAAATTTTAACAATGCACAACAAAAGACTTTAAAACTCAACAACAAAAAATACACAACCCAATTAAAAAATGCACAAAGAACCTGCATAGACATTTCTCCAAAGAACATGTACAAATAGCCAATAAGCATATGAAAAGATGCTCAGTCTCACTAATCATTAAGGGCAAATCAAAATCACAATGAGATGCCATTTCACACCCATTAGCATTAGCTGTTATCAAAAAGAAGAAAATAACTGTCAAGGAGAATAGGAAAAAATCAGAACCCTTATGTATTGTTGGCAGGAATGTCAAATGGCACAGCCACTGTGGAAAACAGTAAGGTGGTTCCTCAAAATATTAAAAATTTAATTACTATATGATCCAGCAATCTCACTTCTGGAATATATCCAAAAGAACAAAAGCAGGGACTCAAAGAGATATGGGTATATTCAGGTTCAAAGCAGCTTTATCCATGACAGCCAAAAGGTAGAATCATAACAAGAGTCCATCAACACATGAAGAGGTAAACATAATGTGGCATGTACAGACAATGGAATATTATTCAGCCTAAAAAAAGGAAGAAAATTCTGCAATATGCTACAACAGGGATGAATCTTGAGGACATCATGCTAAGTGAAATAAGCCAGTCACAAAACGACAAATACTATATGCCTCTACTTACATGAGGTACTTAGAGTAATCAAAAATCATAGAGACAGAAAGTAGAATGGCGGTTGCCAGAGGTTGGAGGGAGAGTAGAATGTGGAATTGTTTAATGGATATAGAGTTTCAGTTCTATAAGATGTAAAGGGTTATGGAGAATGGATGGTGATGACAATTGCACAACAATGTGAATTTATTTAACACCACTGAATTATACCCTTAAAAATGGTTAAGATGGTAAATTTTATGTGTATTTTACCATAATAAAAAAGAAAATCAGTAATAATATGTTTAAATTTGAATCAAAGCATAAACAAAATAAGAGCTTTCTAAAATCAAAGACAATAGTAATAGAAAAATACCTTGCAATTCTGTAACAGTCGTATGAGATGTTCAAAGCAATTACTGTTAAGAAAAATGGCCTGAAGAACAGGCCTATCAGTGCAGTCTAACATGGCTGTGATGGTATCTAGGAAAATAAAAACAAAATCATCCATTTATAAAGTGGAAAATTTGGGATCACAGAAACATTTACTTTGGCTATATTTTTAATTTAGGCTTCTCAGCTGACAAACAGATGTAAATGAATTAGGAAGAAATAGGGATGGAGGGTGGAAAAAAAACTGTACTTATTACTTGTTAAGAAAAAAATGAATATTTTTATAATTTATTATTAAAAATATTTAAATTTTTATACATAAGAGTGATATATATTTCCCAGAGATTTACATAGTTATTCTTCCATTAAAATGCTCAAGTATAACTAACTGAGGTTTCCAACTTGCTATTAATAAGTAACACCTGGTTATGTTTTGCAACAGAATTAGCATGTAGCCATTAAGAAAATGAGACTTAGGAAATCAATCCATTTATGATGATGGTTTGCTCTTGTTTCCTACTGAACAGATATCCTCATTCAGAAATCAAGGGATAATCAGCATAAGTAATACAACAGTTCTTAACAAATAAGAAGTCCATTCAATATAGACTCAAACTTTCTTATAAAGTTATAATTTATAACAATTATAAAACATAAAAGAACAGGAACTAGACAAAATGAATCTTATTTTCCTACAAAGTCTCTTGTGCATTGTAAGGGATCAAGTTTCACCAAGATTCTAGTGTCCAATATTTTTAAATTAGACACCACACACACCCTTACACAACCACGTTTTTAAGTCTCTAGAGCTGTATAATAAACCATTAATGTTGGTTATGTCTGGGTGGTAAAATATAAAAAACTTTTTACTTATCCAAATTTCCTAGTACAGCTGTAATGAAAATATTTTATTTCTATAAAAAGAAACTCTCAATAATACTTGTACTATCAATCTAACAGGGGAATACAATAAGAAATCACATATACTGATGAAAGAGCTTACAGAGAAAAATAGAGATATATAAGCAAAGAATGACACAAACCAACAAACACAAAGAGAGGGCAAGAGAAACGAAAAAAACAAAATAAAACAGAGGTCCTTCTAGAGAAAGGACAGATGTTAAAGTGACATCTATAGAGATTTACAGAAGGACATATAAAATTGTCATATGTGACTCTTGCCATGGGTTAGACAATGCAAATGTCACCTCCTGAAAACTTACTTTTCCTAGAATTTGAAAATAATAGCTGACTTTCTTTTTAACACTGATGCTTTTAATGGATTACACTTTCAAAAAACAATAGAGTCTCAATTTTGTCACTGTTAAAGCAAAGATGCTGTAAACAAACTGATTCCATATTAATTATTCTGAAGTCAAAATCTAAAGTCACACAATAGCTGAACTAAACAATCAATACTTCTATATGATAGCCTTGAATTTCAAATGAGTCTTAAAAAACAGACTCAGAGAAAACAGAGTATAATAAACTTTATGTAATACTTACCCAACATTTTGATCTGCAGAGCTATGAACTGGCTTTCCCACTGTCTGGACCTCCTTTGATTAGGTAAAGCCGAATGATCTGAATTTAGCAATTTAAAATAGTTCTCCAAAATAGTGCTGGTTTCCACCTGACGCTGATCAGAGCTGCTAGTGAGAAGGATATGTACTACTTCTGTAAGGCACTTCAGAGTAAGTTCTACCTTCCTACCCACTTCTTCAGGATTTCCATCCTCCCAGGAATCACAATCTGCCAAAACTCTCATAAGAACTTCCATGGTGGCTGGAGAAATTGCTTGCAAAGCATTCCTCTGAAACATGAGAGATAATAAAAATGAAACCCAAATCTAACTGAAATTCTGTATGTTTGCAAAAATAAAGTTTAATAAATCTGCAGACTTTTTCTTTTAATAAATCAACATAAAAAATTTTAAGCACATACTTTGACAGACATTGCTAGTGTTTTATGCATATTGTCTTAAAATCTGTAAGTAAGTAATGTGCTAGATTACTAGATTTTCATTTTTATTCAGAAAGCAATCTGCCCACATAGAAAACTTGTTTACCACCCTCCCTTGCAGCTAGGGGTAGCCATATGACATAGTTCTGGTCAAGAATATATGCCAGTAGACTATGAAGTAAATACACCTTTACAAATAAAAACAGAAGAACCGTTTGCTCTTGGCCTTTTCATCTTTTTCCTGCCTGGAATACAGATACAATGCTTGAAGCCACCTTTAAATCATGAAGAAACAAAACCCAAGAATTATAATAAAGAGAGCAGAACAGAAATGTGAAAGGACTTAGTCCTTGAGGATACCATGGAGCTGCTATACCAGCCGAGAACTGCCTACATCTGGTTTTCTTATGCAAACATAAAAACAAAACAAAACAAAAACAAACAAAACCCTCAATTTGGTTAAGCTTCTCTAGGTTTTATGTTGGTTATAGCAAATCCATCCCAAATGATATAGATATATTAGAGGACTGGCTTGACTCTGCTTCTACAAACATATTTCTGAAATTCTAAATAATTGGTAGCTATTCGAGGTGATCCATTAAACTTGTAAATAATACATATTGCCTAAAACTGTTAAACTGATATATAATGAATCTAAACATAATTATGCAAAATCATCTGAAAGTAACAGCACTTTAGGCCATTAGAGCTTGTTATTATCAATATAATAAATAGTATCAATAACAAGTGCTACAATGGGAGAATCTGCCAATAGGACACCCAACATCCATTTTCCTCCACTTCCTTATAAAAAGAAGCCCTGATGTTTTACTGGACATGTGGCTACCAGAAATAAAGATTACATTTCCTAACCTCCGTTGTTGCCAAGGAGGCTGAGGAAGCACGTTTTATCAAATTTTTTATCTGGACGTATTTTCCTTTTTTGCAGTTATCTCATGGAGTTTGCAAATGAGATAAAAAAAGATGAGTGTCAGCTTTTCAGTATCTCCTTTAAAGATAGTTGGCATGTCCCATTTGTCTCCCTCCTCATCTCCCCTCCATTTCTGTGCCCAAAATACAAATGCAAATGGCCAGAACTCTAGAAGCTAATCATGTCGCGAAAGAAATAATAACAAATATGACATTCAGAAGGAACCTGGATCCTTGAAGATCCTAGAGCCACCAGATTAACTCTGGACTGCTTACTGCTATTTTTTTTTAATGAGGAAAAAAAAGTAAACTTCTAACTTAAGCTGTTACAATTTTAGTATTTACTGCTTATTATGGGAATCACACATCTAAGTGATAGACCTGTGACTTACTTAGTTCTTATAAGCACTTTACATATATTATGTGTCATTTGGTCCTTATGACTATCTTGTAATTGTTACCGTTCCCATATTATAAATAAAGAAACTTAAACACATGTAAATAAAGAAACTAAAACACATGTAAATAGTTTATCCAAGGTCACACAACTAGTTAGAGATGGACATGGGATTCAAACCTATGTTGGTCTGTCTCCAAAGCCTATCCTCTTAACATAACCCAAAACAACAAATATGCCAATGGGAAGCCCAGGCATGATGCTTGGAGAAGGGAGACCAGTCACGGGACTTCAATTTTTCTGTTTATAACAAGGCCATTCTTACACCTTTAGATATTCAATTCATCTAAATATCTTTGTATTTACTCTATATTCAATAAACTTCTGACCTCAAAACAGCTATAACTCAGCTATAACCCGATTATAAGGATTCTGAGTATTTTTAGTACATAAAATAATAAATTGGCCTTCTAGCAGCTACTTGATTTCTATGTGAGTTTTAATTTTTGGAGGTCTCTCAGGGCTTCATTACCCCTGGGCACTAACAAAAACAAGTCTCTGTGTTCAAAATGGTAATGGGATCCAACCAGCTTCTCCACTAGTCAAAAACAATGTCATTTCCAATTTTATTCATGTATACTTATTCTTACTTTTAGTAGCAGAGAAATGACAGAAATGGGTAGATACTGATGCAAAAGAAGAATATCAGCTAATAAAGAAAGGTGACAAAGCAAACAAACTGAAAAATAAGATTCTAGTCATTATCACCCTCACAAAAAAACAGACTCTTCTACTAGAGTGAAGACGAAAGGCAAGGTAGCCCACTAGGAAACCCAAATAGTATTATTAGCAATATCTGTAACTTTGTTACCAAAAGAAATCCTATATATTTTCATATATTCTAGTTCTTGCAATGTCTTGAAAATCATGTTTGTCTTTTTTTTGAAGTTACATTTATTACTAGACTTGCTGCTATATCTCTTTAGTGTTATAAAAACACATTACTATGTTACAAGTTTACCTTCATATTTTAGTAACTGCATTTTAGCATAATTAGTTTCCTTAGCGATCTTCTGTATTTAATTTTATGCATTTGAAATATTCCAACTAGGGGCTTTACAGATTGTCAACAGCACAGGCAGCACAAAAAGTGTTAGAAACTTCTGATCTAAACTGTGTGCTTAAAGAAAACATATAGGATGTTCTTTCTGAACTATAATCCTGTTTTCAACTAGTAGTTATACTCAAAGTTTACCACAGAAAACTTTCAAGATGCTCACCTTCAAAAATAAAGAAATAAGGATTACTAGAATTTCTTTCTTTTGAGTAATAAAAAGCTAGTTGGGTTTGTTGAAAAAAATGCATATAAACCTTGTATATATGCATTTAGAAATTAAGTAGACAGAAGAGTGTTTAATTCATATGTATTTAATTTTGAGTTTGATTTCATCATGTGGACTAACAAGGGCTGACTTTATATTCTAAAGTAAGAACTAGCAGTTGAAAGTCAACACAACTAAGAACTTAAATCGTTAAATATGGTTATTTAGGCAGTAATTTTATTGTTAGTGCTAATATTATTACTTAGGTTTTTAAAGAAGTTTTAAAAGATTAGTTTTAAACAAGATATAAACTCAGAAAAATATCTGTATGGTTCATGAAATTATAAAAGAACAAAGAATACATTAAATAATCCACAGAAAACTTTTTGCACTGTTAACTATTGTTTTAAATATTAACTTTCAACACTTTCCTCACCTGCCCACCGGCTACAATGGCTCCAAAGAGATGCAATAAGCAACACTTAAGACTTTCCTTGAGATGTTCACTTTCCTGAAAACACTCTGTGAATACACAAATAAACAAATAAGATTTCTCTTTCACAGTATGATTTATCTCTAAGGAATGTCTGACACTGAAACATTAAAAACTATTAAAAGGCTAAAGTTTGTTAAAAGGCAAGGCTGATATGCATTTTTTCATAGTAAAGGAAAAGAGAAACCATCTATCAGGTAGTATTTTAGATAATTTATTTCTGTTATCTCATTTAATTCTCATAATACTCCATATGAGAATATTTTGCCCTCATTTATAAATGAGCAAATGAAATGTCTTATCTAAAATTATAGAGCTGCTAAGTGACAATGCTAGAAGCTAACTGAAATCTGACATAAAATTAGATGTGTTTTTTTACTACTACTACTCCCTCTTATTAGTATAATTGACTATAATTAGTCAATTATAAAACTGGAAGAGTTGGACAAAAAGATTTCCTGGGTTTACTTCAGGGCAAACATTCCAAAATTCTGGTACCAATAATAACCTTTCTTTTAATATTATAAAGTATTTTATTGTTTTCAAAAGGTTATACTTGCACATGACAAATAATTAAAACTGCATAAAAGAACTGTGACAAGGAAAAGTCAGTCTCCCTCAAACCTATTCCTCAATCTACCAAGCTCCCCACACCTTAAAAAAAAAAAAAAACCTATACATATACCACTGCGTAATGTTTTTTTTTTTTTAACATTAATATATACTGGGTATCATTACATCTTAACATAAACATTTTCCTTATTCATTTTTAGGACCACTACAATGATATACCTTAATTTACTTAACCAGTTCTCTACTGATAAACTTTTATGATTTTCCTTTTCATTTTGACAGTCTAATAACCCAGTAATGAGTATTTTTTGCATATATCTTTACATACACAGAGAAGGTATAATAACAGATTTCCAATTTTATACATAATAAACATTACCAAAAAGAAACAGCTTTGAGATAAATGTATTGATAGAAATCTACACTTAAAAAATTAAATGATTCCAGCTTTGTTGGAATAACTGTCACTATACATGGCTTCCTGCTAGAAATAACTAGAAAATTAGACAAAATAGGTAGAAATTTATGCACTCTAGAAATTTTCCTTCTCTCAAGAGAAACAAAGTGAGCTCAACGATTATCTCAGCTTCCTGTTGTGGACATGCTCTGAACAACTGCACAGAAAAGGGGAACCCTAAAAGAAGATGGCTATTTGTTAAGTTAGGGGAGAGGTAAAACCTTTGGGGAGGCCTAGGCAACTGAAATTTGTGCAGCAGTACAGGAGTAGAAGAAGCACTCCAGAAATATTAGTAGGGCTCACTTTGAGTCAAAGTATCAATTCTTACATGATACTGTGAAATCCCACAAGACAGGCAAAAACCTACCAAGAAGTTTTAAGCTGAGTAACTGTCAGATTTTACACAGAGCTGCAAGAAGACAGAGTTCTGATCAGCCACAGGAGACACACAGAAAACATATAAAGGATATAAAAAGATATACCATGTAAACTCTAATCGTAAGAACGCTGGAGTGACTGTATTAGTATCTGACAAAGCAGGCAAGAATATTATCAAGGTAAGGCAAGGAATATTACCATGGGTAAAAAGGGAAATGTCATTATCAAAGAGAGGATTTTTTAAAAATCTACAATAGTTTATTTTAAAGACTTCACATTTACAAGTACTTGTGATAACTTCTTTGGGATAAACTACCAAAATATGTGCACAATCTATATTCTGCCAACTATAAAATACTGACTGAATAAGTAACAAATAATGAGTTTATCAGATTCATGCATTGGAAGTCTCAGTATTCTTAAGATACCAATTCTCCTAAAATGGTTCCTAGATTCAATACAATCCCAAACAAATATATCAGCAAGCGCTTTTGTAAAAATATTTAAAAACTGCCTTCTAAAATGCATATAAAAATGTAAAGGATCCAGAATAGCCAAAAAATTTTTGAAGAAAAACAAAGTTGGAGGACTTAATGGTTTCAAGACTTAGCATAAAGTCACAATAATCAATACAGTGTGGTAATATCATAAGGGCAGATATGTGGAACAAAAAAAAAAAAAGAGAATCCAGAAATCAGCCTAGTTTGATTATGCAGCTGAAGCCAGTATCGCTACTGCTGGTCAAACAGAGTGGGCGCTGCAATCATCTTCACCAAGCACTCAAACAACGGACTATTTGTCTTGTTTTAATTCTTAGGAAAAAAGGAAAGAGAACAAAAGCCAATATGGTAAAATGTTATGGCAAGATCTGACAATGTGAGTAGGAAACACAAGGTATTCCCTGTATATATTCAGCAATATCTTCTACATTCTTGAACTATGGCATAACCATTTTTTAAGAAAGAAAACTAATTCCACATAGGTCACACCTATAGTAGCCAACTCTCTTGTAAGTTTTTTCTAACTCACAGAAGTATTTAATAAGTGAAAACACATTAAAAACCACATAACCTATAACTCATCCTTTAAAACCAGAACAGCCAAGTGAAAATTCAGTACAGAATTTTTACTTTAAAAAGGTTTAAAAATAAGTAATAAGTTTATATACATATATACATATATGTGTGTATATATACATATACACGTGTGTGTATATTTAAACCTTATATTTAAACATGTGTATTTTTAAACCTTAAAAGTAAGTAATAAATTTATATACACACACACACATATATATATATGGCTAGGGAAAGAAAGAACACATTGGGAATTCAACAGCTATGTTTTTTCTTCTTTCTAGAGATGTGACATCATGTTTTCTGGTCAGTAATGTTCTTTCAAACACTACTGAATCAAAGCAAACTCATACTGAGCTGGTTACACCTGTAACAGGAAGAAGGAACTCCTTACCTCAACAGAAAACCTAATGAACCGATTTATACAGAAAGGGTTTTTTTTAGCAAACCTACACAAACACTTAACATGCTATAAGAAAAGGATACCTTTTAACTTACCTCCAGCATAAGTATACATTTATTGATGTTCACGAAAATAGAAACACCAAGGCAGAAAGTATTTTTGCTTTCATAGTACTAATAACTAAAAAGCACACAGCATATATTAATATGGTCTTTAAATGGGTAATCATGGAAGTTCCAAGATTACATCCACTAGGTTAGCCTGAGTATTCATCTATAAAAATATTTTTTCAAAAATGCTTAAAAGGAGTTCAAGAAACAGTGGAACTACATCAGGACCAGCAGAAGATAGTGATTCAAGGATTGCAAATATAAGACTAGAAACTGATATTCACATGAAGCTTCTGGGTAAAGAACACCTCTCTCAGTTGATTCCTACAGCCAAGACAATTGTTACAGTAGGAGCTTCAGAAATTTCAGGATGATCAGCTGGCTTAACACCCTGGATAAATACTCCCAGTCAAAAACCCCAATGAGACTGCAGGACTGAAATTTTGATGCATATGAAAACCTGAGTGTACAAAATGCCGGTTGGGACACGCAAAGCCTGTTGGGCCAAAGAGGGTTGGTGATGGTGAGTTTTTCAAACACCAACATACCAACATGTATGCTGGGGAAGAGGCCCCCAGGTGGAATGCTGGCCTTGGGATTGCTCTAGAAGAGCCTGACTCAGAGAGTACAGCAATTCCCGACCCAAAAGCCCCTGAGAAAGGTGTCTACTATGGGGAGGAGTACCAGGGCCACTAAATACAAGAAGGTGTTTCAAGAAAAACAGGTCCCAGGAGGGTCAGGTAATTTTCTTTTCAACCCAACTATACTTAACATTAATGAACAGTTGCAAAACAGAGTCACTCTTCCCAAGATATATTCTTCTGTCACATTAGCTTTAGCCTCCCCCAGTCTAATGGGCTAGCACGCCCAGAAAGATCTCACCGCCCAGAGGTGGGCCCTAGGGCTTCAGATCGGTCTGGGAAGCTGATAAAGATGAGTTGCACAACTAAGTCACCACTAAACTGCTGCTTAAATCCAGTCCCCAGCCTTCTTTTTCTGCTCTATAGCCCAGAAACACTTCTTTAAAAGCCAGAAAAGCTGTAAACATGAACAGCATGTCCAATATGTCACCAGCTACTTTCTCCTTATAGTGCTCTAAAGATGCTGTGCAAGTCACCATGTTAAATCCAGGAATCTGCTCTAGCAGATGTTCTTCAATATACTTTTCTACCAAAGAAATATACTCATTACAAATAGGTGTGTAGGTGCGTTTATTATCTCCCATGTCTTCAAACTCCTCCATAAATTTTCTTTAATAACTGGAACTCTTCATCCATGATAATAAAATCCAACCACAGCATCAAATTCTGTATCAGAGGTAGAAGAGAAGGACAATGCAAAGCTCTCTTCCTCTAGGGTGTCCATCACTATTGCCCCTATGCCATCCACCTGTGGGGTGAGTGGGCCTGTCAGCCCCCTACTGCAAATGCGGCCTGGGCCAAAGCTGCACTCGGCTCCACAGAGCCCCAACTGGCAAAAGGGAGGCCTCATCCCCGAGCCCACCACCAGCTCACAGCCCAGCTAGGTTGCTCCTGGGCAGGAGGCCCTGGCCTCAGGCTCCCAGGCTGTGACCATGCACCAGCTGGGCCCCCATGCCCCTCTTAAGTTTATTTCAGTAAAAATTCAGAAGGTCTATAATACAGTCATTACAATATTAAGCTCTTCTCAAAATAAAAACACTTTCATCTCCCCCTCCAAGACGAACCATGAGAGACTATGGACTCTGAGAAACAAACTGAGGGTTCTAGAGGGGAGGGGGGTGGGGGGATGGGTTAGCCTGGTGATGAGTATTAAAGAGGGAATGTACTGAGTGGGGCACTGGGTGTCATACGCAAACAATGAATCATGGAACACTACATCAAAAACTAATGATGTAATGTATGGTGATTAACATAACATAATAAAATAAAATTAAAAAACAAAAACAAAAAAAACCACCTTCAGAACAGAAAATTAGAGAAGAACACTAATCATAGTAAAATATGAATCAACTACTCCAGTGATAGGTTCTTACAATCTTTATCTTACAAATACAGAAAGCTGAAGCAAGCAGAATCGGAATAAGAATATTAAAATAAAGAATAATCAGAGTAACATCAAAATCAAAGAGAAATTAGGATCGATACTTACGATAAAAGAAAGGGACAAACTCCACTGTGAGAGAAGCTGGTTTATATTTCTGTCTGCTCTTTTCCACAGTACTAAGGATTCGTCTATCATTAAAAAGAAGTTAATACCAAATTATAACAATGGTGAGTAGAGATGGCATAATTACAGAAACAACTATAAATTTAATATATTACTTTTTATTTATATATTGAACAATACATCTCTAGGATTGATACAATCTTGAAAAGGAAGTCTAACCTATAATTTAAATGCTCACCAAAGGATTTCTTCTTTTGAATTAAGCAAAAAAAATTTAAATGCTTAATGGTGAAACATAGCAGGCAGGTTAAGTCTCCAAAGAACTAGAAACAGAAAAAAGGAACTAGGCATTTAAAATTTCCAATCTGTAAGATTATTTGTTCAGCAGTACTGCTAATTTGACACCTAAGGCTGTACCTTATTACTACAGGGCAAATGAAATTCATCAGAAATCAGGCCACTCTTTGCCACTTTCTTAAATTTTATCTGGACACAAAGAATCCATTCCACTGCCTTCTTCCATTTTAAATTAATGTAGATCTAGTATGCGCTGGGATTTTTTTTTTTTTTTTTTAAGGATTTTATTTTTTATTTGACAGAAAGAGCAAGCGAGCACGAGTTGGGGGAGAAGGGCAGAGGGAGAGGGAGAAGCAGGCTCCCTGTTTCAGGGAGCCTGATGCGGGGCTCGATCCCAGAACCCTGGGATCATGACCTGAGCTGAATGCAGATGCTTAACCGACTGAGCCACCAGGTGCCCAGGGAATTATTTTTGTTTTTAATGACAATTCCAGTAGTTTTGATGGCTGAAATACTTCTACAGACTTTGGCAAGGCCAACATATATAGCATGTGCTTTTACCAAGATCATTTCAATTCAACACAAAATGAGTCTCTTAAATGGGCATGGTAGTGTGGGGACTGGGGAATAAAAGCTATTGTTAAAATGATATATCTGACCAGTTGACTGCAGAAAATTAAACAAAAAACAAAGAACTCAGACACTTTTTTTGTGTCCTGAAAAAATTCCTAACATTGTTAGATAAAGCCAACAAAAAAGGAAAATATTTGAAAAACAGCCACAAAGAAATCCTGTATGTCTAAATATGATCTACTGATAAAGCAATGGATTAAGATGACTTCTTTTTAACAACCATAATTGAGATATTAAAATTATTTTCCTTATATTTAAAGCTAGAAAGAAAAGTCAAGTGGCCACAGAATAAGTCAAGTAAGATAGACACAGCTGCTCAGTAATGACAGAATAAAGAGTTCTAAGATCCAGATCTAACAGCCAGATTCACTAGAAATTGTATTAGACACCATTTGCTAATACAATGCTTTCCAAATCTGTGTCTATTTCCTTTTTTTTTTTTTTTAAGATTTTATTTATTTATGTGACAGAGAGAGTGCATGTGCACAAGCATGGGGAGCTGCAGGCAAGGGAAAAGCTGGCTCCCCACTGAGTGGAGAGCGTGATGCGGGACTCAATCCCAGGACCCTGGGATCATGACCTGAGTCGAAGGCATATGCTTAACCAACTAAGCCACCCAGGTGCCTCCAAATCTGTGTCTATTTCCATTGTGGAGAAGGCAGAAGAATTACCATATTGTGTATTTATTTTAAATTCAAACATAATATCCTAGAATATTATTGGATCTATTTAATTAAGACCAGTATTGAGATTTTTTATGCCTTTAAGAGAATACAAGTATTACTGGAGTTTCAAATTAAAAATTCAGTCATGCCTTTAAAAGAATTCAGTAATGTCATAGAAAAATTAATTTTAAAAGGACGATTTAGCGGGGCGCCTGGGTGGCTCAGATGGTTAAGCGTCTGCCTTCGGCTCAGGTCATGATCCTAGGGGCCTGGGATCGAGTCCCACATTGGGTTCCCTGCTCCTTGGGAGCCTGCTTCTCCCTCTGCCTCTCTCTCTCTCTGTATCTCATGAATAAATAAAATCTTTAAAAAAAAAAAAAAAAAAAAGGACGATTTAGCTTTCAGTTAGGTTTTTCCATGAGATTATTTACATTGTTTATATTTGGCACATTTATTATAAGTTATAGTATGAACCAATAGATTGGATATATCCTATCCAAATATCCTGTGCTACAAACAGTAAGCGTTCTCACTTTAGTAACATAGTGAAAATGTACTCCTGCAATTTGTGAATAATGACTTATTCTAAAGGCCATGTATTAGATGTAACATATGAACATAAATAATTCCCATTATGGGGCACCTGGGTGGCTCAGTCAGTTAAGCATCTGCCTTTGGCCCAGGTCATGATCCTGGGGTCCTGGGATCAAGCCCCAACCAGGGAGCCTGCTTCTCCCTTTCCCTCTGTCACTCCCCCTGCTTGTGGTCTCTCTCTCTCTCAAATAAATAAAATCTTAAAAAAAAATGATTAAAAAAAAAATGCCTGGGTGCTTGGGTGGCTCAGTTGGTTAAGCATCTGCCTTCGGCTCAGGTCATGATCCCAGGGTCCCGAGATCGAGTCCCACATCAGGCTCTCTGGTTCAGCAAGGGGTCTGCTCCCTCTCCCTGCTGTGTTCTCTCTCTCGGCTCTAATAAATAAATAAAATCTTAATAAAATAAAAAAATTTTTAAAAATTACCAATATTGTTGTAGTAAAATTTAATATACTAACATGAATAAGAGGGGTGAAAACTATTCTATGTAACACAAACATTAAAACATAAGTAGTTTACACTACACATTTGTAATAGGGTAAGACAGAATAGCTAAAAATGAAGTTAGTCTTGTACCATTTTTAAATCACAGCATACTTCCTTGTTGCATTATTATCTGATATTTGGGTCAAGCATGTGGCACCTAGCAGAGGCTAATACATGCCCATACCAACTTCTGAGGGCTGTAAAATGTGTTTGCATCTAGTTTTCTAAGTTCATGTCCCTTGGTCAATTATTTTGTGCTTCTTTTTTGTGCTGCCATCATGCCTAGGATGTAACTATTTCTCTTAAACTTTTAATCTGGAAATAAAGTCAAGCTCTTGCAAAAGTTGCAAGAATAAAAATTGTATAAAGAACTTCAAATATATCTTACCCAGGTTCATTGTTAAAATTTTATCCCAAACACTTTATCATTTGTTCACTCTCTCCCCATATTATACAGTGCACACATATTTATATATACATGCATTCACACATATAACATTTTCCAGAACATTTAAAGGGAAATTATGTATATTCTGGCATATTACTTCTAAATACTTTAGTGAATACCTGCTAAAAATAGGGATATGGTCTTACACAATAACAGCATAATTATAAATTTTAATACATTTAACACTAATATAAAACATTTATCTACCATACATAATCCCATTTTGTTAATTGACCCATTAGTATCCTTTACAGCATTTTCTCCCCCTCTCAGTACAGCTTCCTGTCCAGATATTACATTTAGCTGTCATATCTCTTTTCCCTCTCTCAATCTGAAACATTTCTACAGCCTTTATGATATTCTTAAAGAATGTTGTCCCACACTCCTTCCTTTTATTCATTAAAACAGTCTTCATTTTGGGTTTGCTTGATGTTTCCATACAACGAGATTTAGATTATGCATTCTTGGTAGAATACTATAAAAGCAATATGTGTCCTTCTTAGAGCATCACAGCTGGAGGCAAAGATGTCCATCTGCTTCTCACTGATGCTAATTTTGATCATCTAGTCAATGTACTATTCAGTACTATACAAAATAATTACTAATTATTCCTTTGCAATGAATAAATAATCTGTGGGGAAACATTTTAAAACCATGCAAAAAATATGCTCTTTACCAAAACTTTCCCTAGATTTAGCCATCCTGATCCATACCTTTCCTATAATTTCTGTAAAATGCTGATTTTCTTCCAACACTCCTTCTACATTTACTAATTGGCACTTGGACTTCTATTTTAAGGAAGGGTCCTCTCTTTTCCCTTTATCTATCTATCTATCCATCCATCCATCCATCCATCCATCTATCCATCCACCCACCTATCTATCTATCACCTATCACGAGTATGGACTCATTAATTCCTTTTTCCCCCCATGGTTTCTAATTCTATTTTTTTTTTAAAGTAAACTCTACACCCAGTGTGGAGCACAAACTCAGGACCCCGAGATCAAGAGTCATATGCTCTACTGACTGAGCTACCCAGGTGGCCCAGTTTATAATTCTTTATGGCAATTAATTATTTTCATATATACATTGTCCCAGATTTGGCCAGAAGGAGCCCCAGGGCATAACTTAGTCTAAATTGTTTTTCCTCTTTGGGCAGATAATGATTCCTACTGTACTTACATTGGGTACAAAGTAGAAACTCAATAAATATATTTTTAAATAAATGCTTGAATGATAAGGCCTTTTCAGGAAAGAATTCTTTCCCTACATCTATTTTAGTTCCACTTGAGAAAATCTTTCTAAATACGTAAGATGCTATAAACAGAATTAAAATTGAGCTAATAGATTAATCAAATCCATTCATTATATCAAATTACATATGGAAATATGAAAAAAATCCATATATTTCATCAAATAAGAAATATACTTTTATTTTTTTTTAAAGATTTGTTTATTTGAGAGAGCAACAGCACGCGAGCAGGGGGAGGGGGAGAGAGAATCCTCCAGCAGACCCCACCACAGACTGAGCACAGAGCCCAACACAGGGATCGATTGCAGCTTAGATCACGACCTGAGCTGAAACCCAGAGATGGACACTTAACTGAGCCACCCAGGCGCCCCAAGAAATATACTTTTAAATGGCTCTGTATTTGGAATAACGCTAACTTACATTTGTTCTGTGTTAGTTGTTTGGGTAAGCGACAAAAACAAGTAATATTTAAGAAAATATATACATTCCATATTTTCACTTAACTTCAGAATTAGATTAACATATAAGGTGTAAGTTATTGCTATCGCTCCCTTGTATAGGTCTCCCATGAGCTATAGATGTTTCCTAATTCCATGATTTATTTGTAGTATGTTTCATTTCCCTATCAAAGTCAAAGACACCCAAGTCTGAACCCTTGCTTTACTGTTTACCTCTGAAGCAGTTCCTACTATTACCAGCAAAATTGTTATGCCTATTAGAGATAATAGGAAAGCTTCCAGCATAATTCCTGGCATGTATATTACACACACTCATGAAATGCCACCACTCATCCTTCTACTCTTTGTTCCTCTTCCTGTTGCCACTTTATATATGTAGAATTCTCTTTCTATACTATAGCATTTAAATATCTTCTTGTTTTTGGTTCTCAAAACTTGTTTGTTTTCATTTGCCAATTTTATTGGTATTAATTTGTTGTCAGATCTACTTTTTGATATCTTCTCTCATTCCCCCAACTTTTAAATTCATTTTGTTCTTATTAAGATTCCTTTAAAACCTCTCCTCTGTCATTTTCAGACTGTTCTCATGTGCCTCTTTCTGTGTATGTCTTGCTGTCTATAAAGAAAAACTATTTGTCATTGTTTCAAAATTTAAAACATTATCTTAGATTTGCCATACTGACAGATCTGAGGTGGAGGATGGGGAAGTAGCAAGAGTGAAAGGAAGGGATATAATTTCCTTAAGAAATCTCTAGCATCGGTGTCAAAAGAGAACACCGGCTTCCACCAAGGGAGCCATGGAGGAGCAGCAGCTATGGCTCTCCACGACCCTATGGCCATGGGCCTCAACAAGGGCCACAAGGTGACAAAGAATGTGAGCAAGCTGAGGCACACCAAGTTCGTGCACGGCAGGATCCAAGAGGTGCGGGGGCTTCACCCCATATGAGCAGTATGCCATGGAGCTGTTCAAGGTCTCCAAGGACAAGGGTGCCCTCAAGTTCATCAAGAAAGATGTGGAAACACACCTCCATGCCAAGAGGAAAGAGGAGTTAAGCAATGTCCTGGCAGCAATGAGGAAAGCAGCAGCCAAGAAGGAACCCCTCCCCTCTGTATATTATTAAGCCTTTTGGGGGAAAAAAAAATAGAACATTGATTATTTGAGAACCAAAGTGATAAATGAGTAGAAAGGCTACAAATGGAACACTGTTATGTGCCTCTTTCAATCTTCAGAGTCATGAGTAGTGCTCAGGCAGAGGCAAAAGGTAGTGACAGTGCAGTCTGCCAATTATTTCCACGTCTACCCCTTCTAGTCAAAGTAGAACTTCTTGGTTTCACTGTGGTAGATGGGGATGTGGGACTAATTCTGACCAATGAGTTCTGAATGAAAATAAGATGTGTCATGACCAGACAAGAGCATTAAATTGCTAATGTGAGACATTTCAGAGCCTTCTTTTCTCTCATGTGGTAACTAGCAAAGCCTTAGATGCCTGCTCCTCTGTCAGCTTAGGATCTTGAGTGACTGTCATGACTGAGGGCTTCCTGCCAACGATGGCAGACAGCATGAACAAGAAATAAACCTTTGTTATTCTAACCCCTTGTTTGTTATTGCAACATCATCTGTCTTATCCTGACTGATAAACCATCTTTGCCAAGGAAAATTCAAAGTATTTTCTCTCTGGGAAAAGACATATTAAAGCTCAATTGAAAAGGAAGTATTCAATACTAAGTAAACTGTTTGTAAAAGAACTGTTTACTTGACACAAATTTCAGAGTCATGAATTCCCAACAATGTAAGTGCACTATAAGCAAAAGCTAGGTACTGCTAAGGTTGGTATTTTGATATAGTAAGTACAAACTATTTTTATCTATTCTTTAAAGCAGGACTCCTGCCAGACAGTACCTTTTAACCCTAGTTCAAGTTGCAATATTTCTTTGAAAAACAATATTGTTTCTCTGGTGGGGAAGGGGAGAAAAGGAAGCATTCAGAAGGTCATTAGTTCCTTTCCATTAATGAACAGTCAAGAAAATTATTAGGGCAATGTGATGGTTAATTTAATGTGTCAACTTGGGAGGGTGTTTTTGGATGAGATTAACATTTAAATTGGTGAAATATGGATAAAGGAGATTACCCTATACAAAATGCCTCAATGAATCAGTGGAAAGACTGAAGAGAACAAAAAAATTGGCCTCTCTAAGCAAGGGGGAGTTCTCCAGCAAACTGTCTTTGGACTTCATCTGCATCATCAGTTCTGGGTCTCCAGCCTGACTACATTTGGACTAGAACTAGAACATCGGCTTTCTATCTGCCAGCTTTCAGACTGTAACTGTACTTTGGCTTTCCTGGGTCATAAGCCTGACATCCCACATTTGGATTTGTCCGCCTCTAAAATCACACGAGGCAACTGCTTATAATAAAGCTTGTTTTATGCATGAATGTGCGCACGCGCACACACACACACACACACACACCTTACTGGTTCTGTTTCTATGGAGAAACCTAATAAAGACAACTTCTCTCAACGTATAAAGGAAAGCCAGTGTATAAATAAGTAGACAGGATTGTTATATTTAATAACTAGAGTACTTGTTCCTATTATATCTACTTTTTACTTCTTACTTTTACTATAGGATGTGTTATTTCAATAAAGTATCACTACACAGAACATACAAAGTATTACCATATAGTCTACATAAATGTTCTCTCAGTTAATCAATTCTTCACCATCATCTAATGGTGGCTACTCAAAGTGAGGGTATAAGACCCTAAAAAACCTGAAAAGCCTATAAAGATCAAACATTTTAGCAGTGAAAAGCTGCAGGAAGTGGCAATGGTATAAGTAGGTTGGGTTAAATTAAAAATGAAAATGGAAAGGGCACCTGGGTGGCTCAGTTGGTTAAGCGACTGCCTTCGGCTCAGGTCATGATCCTGGAGTCCAGGGATCGAGGCCCGCATCGGGCTCCTTCCTCCGCAGGGAGCCTGCTTCTCCCTCTGACCCTCCCCCCTCTCATGTGCTCTCTGTCTCTCTCATTCTCTCTGTCTCAGATAAATAAATAAAATCTTTAAAAAAAAAAAAAAATGAAAATGGAAAAATCTGAAATTGAAAATACAGCAGATTTGGGAGACCTAAACAAGCAATCTGACTGTAGTTGATGATACAACTCTTCCTATTCTGTGCCCACAGGTAATAAAGATATGAGTTCAAAACTCTTCTCTGTGAGCCCTGAACTGGTAATTACACTACTGTCACTACGCTGCAAAACCATCATCCTATATTCTATCTGCTTTGTCATGCTGTGACAAGCACTCTGCAAACTATACTTCTTTTTTTCCAGGTACTCCACTGTTGGGTTCACCAGTACTGCGTACTAAATGGAGCCTGGAAGGCTAAGGGTAAAAAGTAAGTGATTCCTTATTTTTTTACCAGCCAACAGCTCTTAACTGTAGCATTCACAGTTGGTTCTTTGTCTTCAGGTTATTTTTGACAATTCCAGCACCAGCCTATGCTCCTGGCTGCTCAGTGATACCTGCACAGCTAAGCAATGCTCTTTCATCAGAGGTCTGAGACCCAGCTGCAGGACCTCTTCTCTGATAACTCCAGTCTCTTCCTTTTGTCCCATACCCCGAAGGAAGCAGCTGCTTCCTGAAGTCACTATCTCTGTATTACATCACTATCCCTACTTGCTTTTTGAGTTCTCTAATACCTATTTAACAATTTCCTTCAATTATATCTTTTTAAAATACCTGGTATGATTATCGTTTTCTTGACCAGACCCTAGCTGACACAAGCTCCACAATTAAAAGCAGACAAAATATTGTTAAAATCATTTTCATCCTATGAAATGAGCTTAAAAAAAGAGAACTTTCCTTGAAAAATATGTACACTCCACTTGATGTTACTGTGCTTTGAAATTTTCCTATCAGATTATTAGTATTACAAAATAAAAGTTTAGAGTAAATTTATTATCTGGAAGTGGCAATTTTCACTAATTCATTACTTCCAACAGAGATAGATAGAGGTCAGAGATAAAGATAGGGGTCTTACACACATCTTACATATTTCTTTCACAGAGAATAAGACCTGCATTGAAGAATTACATATATTTATGACATTCAGGTTTTAAATGAACATTATAAGGTATATAAGACATACCCTGAAATTCTATGCCTCCAATTCCGATATGGATCATACAAACTTTCACAAAACGCCAATGCATGGATCACAAATTCTTCAACAGATGTCTGATCTGCCAATTCCTTCTCTTTTTTTTTGCTTTTTAACTGAAAGTAAAGTTAAACAAAAAAGTATATTTAGTTAAAAATATTAAACTGCATAACATGTCTACATCATTAAAAGACAACATGTTTCATTAATTATCTAATAAATCATTTTTATTCAAATAAACCTATGTTCCAATTGCGTCTAAAGGGTCAGTTATTCATATGGACTGAATATAATCCTTCAAATTTTAATATGGCCTAGGAAGAGTTTCAAATGGATAGCAAAAAAAAAAATGTGGTCAATAAGAGGGATATTTGATGATAAATAATATGTAATATATACAATATATAAATTGACAAAGTATGTCACTGTAAAAAACCATTTATAAAACACTTTAATTTTTAATTAAAATAAAATATATTAATAATTGCTTTTCTATTTTTAGATAACACGTTTAAGATGTCTGAACTATATAGTACCTAATGGAAATTTTAATTCACTTCTCGATTATTACATCCTCTAAAAACATTTAACTTTACTATAATATTTAAAAAAGTAAAACCTAGTTACTCTCAGTAAAGCAACAAAAGGAATATATTAATTCACCTACTTGCTGAATATAGAGTGTTGTCATAGTGATGACATGATTAATATATGAGCAAGTCCCAATTTCTTCCACATTAGATAGATTTCTGTGAGGAAAAAAAGAATATTTATTACTTATGAACAGTGACAAAAATGTATGCTCATTTATTCAAGTCGAATTTTGAAAATACATGTTAGCAAAGGAAATATAAATGACATTTATTAAGCCTTAAAATCAATATGGTTATATAACTGTTTTTCCACTAAGAATGTGAAACACACCTCAACCACCATTTAGCTACTCTAAGCAGAATGTTTAAGAAGTACATGCTGGTTAGCAATTATTTATTACAGAAAAAGTGAAAAATATCACAAAGTAGAAGCAAAAGAGAAACAAAAATCAAAAATATTCTTACAACCCAACCGTTCGCAACTATTTGCATTTTGGATTATTTCTTTTCAGGTTTGTTTTTATTTTCGTATGCAGATTCTTAGTTTGGTTTTTGTACATATTGTTGCCATTAAAACACATGTACAGTTTTAGAGTTTTCACTTTGCTCTTTGAAATTACAGTTCCCTTATCTAGACGTGTTTCTCAACTATACTGAAAGGCCTTGCTAGAAAAGCCAGCATCTGTACATTCTCCATGAGGGCATAATATATGTGTTGTTTAAAGCAGTGAGTGGGTCAATAAGTGATGTTTAATTAAAATATGGTCCTCATTTTTATCCCATTTTTATAAGACAAGGCAGGACACATAATGCTAACACTTCCTGTATCTAATATCACCTATCTTTTTCTTAACATAATAAAACAGTCTATTAATTTTCTCTTCTGAGACGCTGTGACACTGAAAAAAACTATTTATCTAAAATACAGCAGATGCCCATTTGCAACGACATGGATGGAACTAGAGGGTGTTAAGCTAAGCGAAATAAGTCAATCAGAGAAAGACAATTAACAAATGATCTCACTCATATGTGGAATTTAAGAAACAAAACAGAGGATCATAGGGGAAGGGAGGGAAAAACAAGACAAAATCAAAGAGGGAGACAAACCATAAGAGACTCTTAATTAGAGGAAACAAACTGAGGGTTGCTGGAGGGGATGGGGTGGGAGATGGGGTAACTGGGTAATGGACATTAAGGAGAGCAAGTGATATAATGAGCACTGGGTGTTATGTAAGAGTGATGAATCACTGAACACTACCTCTGAAACTAGTAATACGCTATATGTTAATTAATTGAATTTAAATTAAAAAATAAAATAAAATACAGCAAATGCTAAAAGAACCCAAAAAATAACAGAATTAACAGCCCTGTACCCCTGAAACAAATAATGCATTATATGTTAATTAAAAAATTTTTTAAACAATATAAAAAACAAACTTGACTAGTTCAAAAAAAAAAGAAGAATTAATAGTTCTTAATAAAAGAAGTCAGACTGGCATGACTTCTTTGAGAAAAGAAAAAGTAAAGGAGAGCTAAAATTCAAAGACCCTATGGAGGATTCTAGGAAGATGGCAGAATAGGAAGCACTAGGCATATGTCTCCACACCTAGAAAACAACTGTGCTGGATATAACTTATTCTGGAACTCTGAAGTGTGCTGAATGCTGGCAACTTCCAGGGGAAGACATGGCACAGTAAACTGCAGTTAATGTTCGATAATTTTGGTAAATTTCAGCTATTATTAGCACAGTAGCAACCACCCATGTAGTGGGCAGCTCTGCACATCTTCCCAGAATCGCTTGTTAACAAGTTAAAGGAACCAGGGTGGGCAAAAAGGACCCTGTTCTTCAAATATCAGGAATTTGTGCTTCTGATCAAAGAAATGAAGACAAAGAGGTGGGAGCCATTGTTAGTACACCTCACCCCACTGTTGCAAGCCCCTTGCTCTCTGGCTGAAGGAACTTTCAGGGAACTTAAAGGGTCATGGATGAAAGTACTACAACATAATAAAAAGCCATATATAAAAATTCTACAGGAGACATCGTACTCTATAGTGAAAGGACCGAAAGCTTTTTTTCTAAGAACAGGAACAAGGCAAAGATGGTTACTTTTACTGCTTCTATTCAATATAGTACTGGAAATTCTAACCAAAGCAAGTAGGTAAGAAAAAGCATCTAAATTGGAAAAGAGGAGGTAAAATTTATCTGTTTGCAAATAAAACTAGATCTAGAGATTAAACACAAACCATAAGAATTAATAAATGAATTCAGCGAAGTATTCGGATAAAAAAAATCAGCACACAGAATCAAGTGCATTCCTATACATAAACAATAAATAAATGAGAAAGAATTATCATGAAGACAATTCCATTTACAGTAGCATTAAGAATAAAATACTTAGGAATTAATTTAACCAAGGAAGAGAAAGCCTTATAAAATGAAAACAAACAAACAAAAATTGCTGCAAGTCATTTCAAAAGACATAAACATAAACACATGTGATGTTCACAAAGGACATCTTACCGTTAAAATATCAAAACTACCCAGAGCAATCTAGAGATTCAATGCAATCCTTATCAAAATCTCAATGTTTTTTGCAGAAACGGAAAAACCCACCCTAAAATTCATATGGAATCCCAAGGAACCCCAAATAGCCAAAACAATTTTGAAAAAGAAGACCAAACTGGAAGACTCACACTTTCTGATTTTATTTTAGTGCAAAGCATCAATAATCAAACAGTGATGTTGGCATAAAGAAAGACATATAGACAAATGGGATAAAATAGACCAGAAATAAATCTTCATATGTATGCTTTTGACAAGGGTCCCGACACCAACCGATGGGGAAAGGAAAGTCTTTTCAAAAAGTGATGTTGGGAAAACTGGATATCCACATGCAAAAGAATGAAACTGGACCCTTACACCATATACAAATATTAACTCAAATGGATCAAGAAACTAAATATAAGATCTAGGATAATAAAACTCTTAGAAGAAAATAAAGTACAAGAGCTTCATGACATTGGATTTGATTTCTTGGATATGACACCAAGGTATAGGTAACAAAAGTAAAAATAGACAAATTGGATTTCATGAAAATTTAAAAATTTTGTGCATCAAAAGACACTATCACTAGAGTAAAAAGGCAACTCACAAAATGGGAGAAAATATTTGCAAATCATGTATCTGACAAGGGATTAATATTCAGAATTTAAAGAGAGTTCCTAAATCTCAACAACCAAAAAAATCAACCCAATTCAAAAACAGGCAAAAGACTTGAATAGACATTTCTCCAAAGAACTACTATATGAATGGCCAATAAGCACATGAAAAGATGCTCAACATCAAAAATCATTAGAGAAATGCAAATCAAAATTATAATGAAGTACCCCCTCACACCCATTAGGATGATACTATAAAAAAACAAAAACAAAAAAAACCCAGGGTGCCTGGATCGCTTAGTTGGTTAGGTGTCCAACTCTTGATTTTGGATCAGGTCATGAGATCAAGCCCCATGTCAGGCTCCACGCTGGGCATGGAGCCTGCTTAAGATTCTCTCTCTTCCTCTCCCTTTGTCCCTCCCCTTCCAAACAAAACAAAACAAAACAAAAACAAAAAACAAAAAACCCCAAACAAACAGAAAACAACATGTGTTGGCAAGGATGTGGAGTAACTGGAACATCTAAGCACTGCCGATGGGAATGTAAAATGTTGCAGCCACTGCTATGAAAAACAGTATGGCAATTCCTCAAAAATTTAAGATTCCAGTTATAATATGATCCAGCAAGTCCACTTTTGGATATGTAGCCTATGTAGCCTAAAGAACTGAGGTGTCCTCACCTTCACCAGACATATCTATACATTCATGTTCATAAGAGAATTATTTTTCTATTTATTTTTTTTCCTTGCATAAACCCTTCACTCACCTAAGGGCCAGTGGAAATTTATTTTTTGTCCTTTCCATCTTTTACCAAGTTGCTTTTCCTTGCAAAATGCATGACATGACAGAGGGGAACCTGGGAGTGGGGGGCATGCCAGGGACTTAAATACAAGCTGGAGGGCAGGGCACAGGTAGGACAGGTGAGAGACAGCACGAGGGACATGACTTTTCAGGTAAAGATGAAAGAAGAGCAGAAAGAAGCTGTGCTAGAGGGCAGGGGGCTAAGATACTGGGTGGGAGGGGGTGAGCAGAGAGGCCCCCAACCCTGGGTTTATACCCACATTCCCTAGAGAAGTAGCAACAGGGCATGAAGACCTCCCCTTGTAGGCTCCAAGGAATAGAACAGGGACTGGGAGAATAAATCCGATTGTGCTGCCTCAGAGAAAGGGAGGAGGTGCTGACAGAGTGATACCCAAACAAGCTGAAAACTTATGTCCATGAAAAATCTACACAAATGTTTATAGCAGCCATATTGGTAACTGCCAAAAACTAGAAGTAACCAAGATGTCCTTCATTAGGTAAATGAAGACACATATTGTGGCGCATTCATAAACTGAGTATTATTATTCAGTGATAAAAAGATATGCACTATCAAACCACATAAAGACATGGTTCTTCCAAGTGAAAGAAGTCAGTCTGAAAACGGTACATACCGTATGGTTTCACATATATGACATTCTGGGAAAAGCAACACTATAAATACAATAAAAAAATCAGTGGTTGTCAGAGGTTGGGCATGACAGGAGAGAAATGAATAGATGGAGCACAGGGCATTTTTAGGGTGATGAAATTATTCTGTAAGATACTATAATGGTGGATACATGACAGTATGCATTTGTCAAAACTCATACAACTGTACAAGACAGTAAACTCTAATGTACTCTACAGACTTAGTTAATGATATATCAGTACATGTTCATCAATTGTAACAAAGGTACCAACCTAATGCAAGATGTTAATAATAGGAGAACTGTGGAGGAAGGAGAAAGAGCATGTAGAAACTCTGTAGTTTTTCCAAATTTTTATATAAAATGAAACTGCTATACAACATAAAATCTATTAGAAATTTTTTAAGGAATTTTTTTAAAAAGTGAGGTCTCTGGAAATAAAAACATGTTCTGTGACTGGCAGCTATTAAACATTAAATTTAAAATAAAATAAACATTAAATTAATCATCAGAGATTATCTCCTAGTTAAAAAAAAAAAAATTCAACCAAAAGATGTGTTGGAACATTCCAGTGCTTGCCTATAATGATCAAGAGCTAGGGGCTCCTGGGTGGCTCAGTTAGTTAGAAGCCCAACTAACTGAGGTCATGGTCTCAAGGTCATGAGATCAAGCCCTGTGTCAGGATCTGTGCTCAGCTTGGAGTCTGCTTGGGATTCTCTTTCTCTCTCCCTCTACCCCTCCCCGCAATTGCATGTACACACCCACACACTCTTTTTCTGTTTCTGAGATAAAGAAATAAATAAATTTTAAAAACAGCTAAACATACTGGATTTATTTTTTTAAAGATTTTACTTATTTGAGCAAGAGAGCGAGAGCATGAGTGGTGGGAGGGGCAGAGGGAGCGGGGAAAGCAGACTCCCCGCTGAGCAGGGAGTCCGATGTGGGACTCAATCCCAGGACCCTGGGATCATGACCTGAGCCGAAGGCAGACGCTTAACGGACTGAGCTACCCAGGAGCCCCTAAACATAACTAGATTTAAAACGGTTATTTATCTATAGGATTCCTGATTTCTGTAAAATTGTACTAAGTAGTTAACAAGACAAAATATAACAGATCAACAGACCAACTCATGTTTTATTGCATAAATAAACCCTTTTTCCCTCAACCTTTTAATTCTTGTATTATTTTTCTGAATTTTAAGGATGATTAAGAGCACAAAATCAAAAATATCTACAGTTCTGGGAGAGCCTAAAATAGGGTAGAAACATTTTAGCAATTATTGCTCAATCTTTCCATGATTCCTGCAATCAAATACAATGAGCAATTAAGTGAAAGGGTAATAAATGCACAGTAAATTAAGTCCCTGTTTGTCTATTAATTAATTCTAAAATATTTATAGAACAAATAGTATATATTATAGAAAATGGCTTCCAAAAAGAAGATAGACTTTAAAGAGGCATAAAGTGCCCCTAACCCAACAGTTCTTAAATTTGTATATGCAGGTTAATGTGGAATTCGTGAAGAATTAGAATGCCTGAGCTCTTTAGAGTCAGAATTTTCATAAGACTCAAGCTCTGTATTCCTATTAAGCTTCCCAGTTAATACTTATGCACACCGAAATTTAAGTACCACAGACCTAATCATCTATAAACCTGGAAATATAAGCTGTAGAATAATTATAATTTCTTTGGCAAAATTATAAAATGAAAGATTAGAAAAATATATTTCACAAATGATAATGCACAGTAGTAAAAATGATATGTGTTTACAGGTGAGGACCACACAGAAAATACTGGTACAACAAATTCTTGGTTAGGTAAAAACTTCAGTCACTGTCTTTACAGTAATTTTTTTTTTTTTTAAATCTTAGCTGAATCTATAACTAAATCTGGTAACTAAAAGGCTTTCCAGTAGGGGTGCCTGGCCGGCTCAGTCGGTGGAGCATGAGACTCTTACCTCAGGGCCATGAGTTCGAGCCCAACATTGAGCATCGAGCCTACTTTAAATAAAGAAGTAAAACATGAAATAAATAAATAAAAAGCTTTCCAATATAATAACAAATCACAAGGCTTTCATAAAAGGCGCACTCAAGGGGCGCCTGAGTGGCTCAGTCAGTTAAACGTCTGCCTTTGGCTTAGGTCATGATCTCAGGGTCCTGGGATCGAGTCCTGAGTTGGGCTCTGCCGTCAGCAGAGAGTTTGCTTCTCCCTCTCCCACTGCCCTTCTCCCTGCTCGTGCTCCCTCTTTTTCTCTCTCTCTCTCAAATAAAAATAATAAACTCTTTAAAAAAAAAAAAAGGTGCACTCAATCTTTAAAGCTCCATATGAACAACAAACACCATTAATAATAAATAAATGCATTGTTATTTTGATAATTTTTTAAAACAGATAACTAGTTTGTTTGTACCAGATACCTGCAAAGAATAATGAAGAACTTGACAAGCAAAATTGACAAAGCTTGTTGTTGTTCCTCTAACCCATCTGCCATTTTCTGAACACACTGTAGTAGCTGGATCCTTAGAACCTGCAGAATATTATCAGGAAGCAGAGATATTCCTGGAGGCACATCATCTACCCTATCAGGGGGAAAAAGAAGAAGGGTGATTAAGTATGAAGAAAATCTTTGGCACTTTAAAGGAACTGCATTTTCACCTCAAATTCTAAAGAAACTCTTTTATTCCAGATGCTCTGTGCCTTCTCTGCAAGGCACCACCAGATGATCACTATGACACTTCAGAAGATTAGTATAACACAGTAGTTAGTCTTACTTCAGAAGAGGCTTACTGAAAAGAGGGAGAGTTAGAGAATCTATTTAATATCTTCAATTGTGCTATTTTCAAAGAAAATATTCAGAATTAGTTCACCTGCTACTTAGAAATAAAACATGTGTATATATGCATGTATACCATTTCTAAAGGAACAATAACTAGCATATAAAAATGGAGTACCTATAACTAGTTTAATATCTGTCAACTGCTTTACTAAATAAACAATATTCACCTACCTATAGGCTCCCCAAACCATGTGGTCAGAAGAGGGAGATAAGATAACCAGCAAAAGGAAAGGAGAAGGACAAACAGGTAAATGGAGAACCCTAAGCATGAACATTAATAAATTTTTTTAAAGTAATACATCAGTATTTTATGACAACCGGTTTCTGGGTAAGAAGACCATCTGGTTATTCAAAGACAAAAGCCAACACCAGATGTGACTGGCTATTCTCTCTTAGAGAGATCCCCCAGACTCAAAGTGAGAAGATCTGTGTATTAAGTTCCACCTCTGTACCATAAAGTACACCATTTAATCTGTGAAGTGCCCTATTCTATAAAATTGTAATTTCTGCCCTATTTCATAGGGTTCTGAAACCAAAAAGTCAATGTGCATTTTTAACTATGAAATATGTAAAGAACTATAAAAATGTAATATGTTTTAAATATACTATCGCTAGGGACGCCTGGGTAGCTCAGTCTTTGAGCGTCTGCCTTCGACATGGGTCACGATCCCAGGGTCCTGGGACTGAGCCCCGCATCGGGCTCCCTGCTCGGTGGGAGGCCTGCTTCTCCCTCTCCCCCTGCTTGTGTTCCCTCTCTCACCGTGTCTCTCTCTGTCAAATAAATAAATAAAATCTTTAAAAAAATAATAATAAATAAATAAACTATCACTAAAGCCTACAAATCTTTTCATGAAGTCACTGACTACTAATTTTCCTATTTCTATTAAGAAAAATACCCAATCACAAAGGAGCACCACAAAGAGCAACTATGATTAAATGACAATCATACTTTAAATAGTGTCTTCTTCAGATAATGCTTAATATGATTTACTATTATTTTTACACTGAGTTTAAAGCTATTTCATTCACTGTAGGCAGAAAAATTTCAAGCACATTACCAGTAGTCATATAAATATATATGATAAATATTTTTAGCCTCTTCCTGAACCATCCCACAACATTATAATAAAATAAACACCTAACTTCAATTACACAGAAATCACAAAGCACATTACCAAGGCTGCGGAATTCTATAACCATGTCACAAAAATGCATGTTTCATTTTAGTCCGGGCACCACTTCCCTTGTAATTTGGATTCTTTCCTTCTCTTTTATAGATGGTACCAGAAAAACTCTCATTTTTATATATACTTTTTTCCCTGCTAAAGAACTAAAAAGAGGTGATGAGAAAAACCACAGTACCTTCAAAATAATAAAGCTTTAAATTTAAATATAACTGATTTTCAAGACTAAGCTAAACTATTCCTATTCACTTTTCCAAAATCATAAGTCAACAAGAAAGAAACAGCAGATTTCCCAATATTCAATCCTAGTTATAAAGGATTAGTTCCCTTTTTCCTTAGTTGTCCCATTCTCTATTTGCATTTTTAAAAATTTTACTAGACAGAAAAAAATTAGCTTACAAAAGAGAAATCTATTGTACTTATACTCGTTATAAAATTGGGGTTTGATTAGAACATGACTTGTAGATAAAGTTGAGAAAGTTTTGGCCATGTTCCTAATGCGATGAGGATTTAAGAATTTGGAACATTTTCCCATCATTAGAACTTTACTGCCCCCAAATTCTAAGCTTCTTTTGCTGAAATTTCCCAATCCCCAGAAATCTGTTTCACTTCTCTGTTTGGCTGAATGTCTACATTAAACAGCTGCCCACTGTTGTCTCCATCTAACACAGGAAGAGAAGTCCAGCTTAAATTCCAAGGCTTTAAATTCTGGTAAAAGCATTCTTTGCTTGCATTAGGAATTCTCTAACTTAAAAGTTCTGTCAAGAGGCGCCTGGGTGGCTCAGATGGTTGAGCGTCTGCCTTCGGCTCAGGTCATGATCCCAGGATCCTGGGATCGAGCCCCACATCAGGCTCCTGGCTCAGCGGGGAGTCTGCTTCTCTCTCTCCTTCTGCCTCTCCCCCTGCTCATGCTCTCTCTCTCTCTGTATCTCTGTGTCTCAAATGAATAAATCAAATCTTTAAAAAAATAAATAGGGCGCGTGGGTGGCTCAGTTGGTTAGGCGACTGCCTTCGGCTCAGGTCATGATCCTGGAGTCCCGGGAT